GGGATTATTCTGAACATGCCAGTGACCGTTATCAAGCACCCAGTCCCTCATATCAGAATTTAAGAAAGAGAATATATAAAGGTTATGGACAACCAGACTAACCTTCACTTGCGACGATTTCCCCTAAATCGATTCGATGATTCGCTACAACGAGCCAAATTAGGGGCCAAACAAATAAATTGACCCACTAACGCGTAATTCTAGTAATCTATACCTTCCTCAATCACTCCAGGTGGGGGTTTGACAGTAGCAACTCTGTCATGTAAATCAAGGGGGAAATAACTCGAGAGCCTGCTCATTCGATCCCACAAACAGTTTCCTCCAATCTAAACCCAACGAATCCGAACCCATGAAATTAGAACAAGAAACAAATCAAGAGAACTCTGATTAGCCAAATCGAAGAAACAATCAGAAGCGAAGAAGAAAATCTGGAGACCCATTAGTCCAGCTAACGTGCGCCCAGAGAGACTTCATCGTTCCACTTATTTTGTTGAGTTTTTTATTCGTAAAAGTTACAAAATTACCTCTCGATTATAAAGTGTTATTTTGTTGAGTTCATCGACTATTAAAAGTTACAAAATGGTCACTTGACTATTCATATGTTTCAAACTCGTCATTTCCCGTTAAAAATTTGGCTGTAAATCTGAGCTAGACGTTAACTTGCTGACTAAGATATTATAAAATATGATCTCATAATCTCAAATAATTATCGAATCTCAGTCAGTCTGTTAACATCCATTTCAGATAACTGTTAATTCTTTAACGAAAAATTATGAGTTTGGAATATAATGAATAATCAGGTGATCATTATGTAACTTTTAATAGTCGAGGGACTCAACAAAATGCCCAATAATTAGAAGACTATTTTGTAACTTTTAGTAGTTGAGAGACTCAATAAAATAATATCCTATAATCAAAAAAACATTTATGTAATTTACCCTAAGTTTAAAAATATTGTTACTAGTTTAAGTATTATATTACAAAATATTTTTGTAAATGTATGTTATTATGTTTGTAATTGTTCCATGTTGGTTGGTTTGTATAGAGGTGGAAATCGGGTTTTTTAAATCGGATTTGAGTTTGGATAAGTTTCTACCAGGATAAGTTGGGATTAGATTGTATTTACTTTAGATTTAATTTATATTAAATTTAATTTTATTTGGATTTAATTTCGTTCTATGATAAGTTAGGTTGAGTCAAATATAAGATTCATACCTGTATCAAATCAGTCAATTTTCGCTCATATTTTTTTGGATATTTGAATCATTTTAGGTTGAATTGAGAATGATTTCAATCGAATATAAACAGAATTATTGATATATTCTTATAAAAATATATCTTTTTGCTTGTCACTCTAATCATTAATGTTGAACCATTAAATTATCACCAAAAGTGATGATTAACTAGTACTATAATATAAAAGGAGAATAAAAACATAATCATTTTATTATTTATCATGTTGTTAAAAATAAATAATAAAAAAATAAATTATTCAATTAAAATCTTATCAATATTCAATTTGAATCAGTAAATTAAATTTGGATTATTTTTTGTTCAAGTTAATTTGAGTATTGGATTTTAAATTTGATAAATAAAGGGATTGTAATTAAAAGTAGAGGGACTAAATATCAAATATTTGAAGAATATAGCAAACTGGAGTAGAAGTAAACCATGGGTATTTTACATTTCAATGTAATAAAAGATGGGTCAGATTGTTGGATGAAACTGACACCTAACCCACTGTCCTTATTCGGAGATTATGGATAGAGCTCTACTTGTGTGGATAGGTTTCCTACCGTACTTGACCTTTAGTCAACGATATTTAAAGTAGATAGTTAAAAATCACTTGGTTAATGTCTCCCCTTTTCCTTCTAAATACGAATTGTTTAAAAAACACACAAAAAATGTAATTGTTATACTATTAAATTTTAATTAAAAAAATGAAATCTTATACTTATTCGGCTTTGAAATCAAGAAAAGAAATATTTTTGAAGCAGAACATATAATTTGAGAGGTATGAATAGATTGAGGAACGATCGGGGCAATCATCCTCTTGAAAATGATCAATTATCATATACTTTTTACTAATAAATTATTTCCATCCCTTTTACAATTTTAAAATTTATTCTCTAACATAAAATTACGCGTTTATGCATATTAGAAGGTGGATTTTATGTTGTTTGGTTTCTTCTTTGAGATGGTTGCTTCCAATCACACGAAGGAGCATTGGGCCTAATTAATATGGGTTAGACCAATTAACGCTGATAAGTTTGTTCAACTTCGTAAGCGGATGGTCCTCCTTAGTTGAAATCACATGGGGACTTCAGAAGAGGAAGCCTTGCCTCGGCCCCTAACCACCAATGGTTTTCATAATGAAAAATATTTTTTTTTGGTATTTATTTGTCTAATCTTTCTGATCTAATTAGTTATTTAGATTTGACTTATAGATTTTAATTCACATAAAAACTTTGCTTCACGATTTAAATTGGTTTAAATTCACATATAATGTGAATGTGTAAAACTGTAGTCTTAATCATCTATTTACATTATCTTATGATCTTAAATCCGTATAAAAGTAAAGAAATATGCACAATGTAAATAGATTATATCCTAATATAATCATTAGTATCTAATTCATTAATCGACTAATATAGATCAAGTACTGAAAAATACTTATTATAAAAGTTATTTTTTCAATCCATTTTTTTTATTTACAACGATACAATTCAAATTTTAAATTTTACTTTTGAGTAACCTAATATCCTGTTAAATCAACTCGTAATTAGCATGCTACTTTCAAAAGCTATCTCTTCATTTTTTTTTTCTATGAAAAACCACACGAAACGCCTTATTTGAACGTGGCAGATAATAAATTCAAAAGGAAATGTCAAAGTTGGGAAATGAATAATATATAAAGTAAAAAACATACGGAACCAAACAACAAATTCCACAAGAATACATTTTTTCTCAGAAAATTTTCTTCTTCTTAGATGCCCAGGAAGTGTTACTACCGGTTTATATTAATTTAGCGCATTTCTTTAATCGCATATTAGGATGTTGCATGTGAGACTTCCCAAAATCCTATGTTCTAACACAACACAACATTGACTATAACACATGGTAAGTCTTTCTAAATATACAGGCTGTTCAAACATTAACCTAAACACTATTACCGGTAAGTCATCTTATATTGACGACCATAAAATTAGATTCGAACATGGAAGAAAGACATTACAAGATAATGAATATAGAAAAGTAATACCAACTTCGAATATAGGAAGTTAAGAAAAGCAAAGATTAACCTAAACAGATGTGGCTGTTTAGACATTACAAGACAACTTTAGGTCTGAACCGCATAGTTCAACGATAATGCTCTGGAAAAACTGGTAAATCTCTCTTGCGGTAATGGAAATGAACAAGGCGATGTCTTACATAGGAGAAGAAAGATCTAATTCGAAGTGCAGAATAATGGGAAAAACTGATCAGATGGTGAAGTTCCGATCTATATCACTTGGTAAAATTAGGGATAGTACCATGAGGTTCCGTGGCTTTAGCAGCCGGTGAGGGCTCGACAGCCGAGGATGGTGGAACCGGTTTCCCAAGAAGCTCAGCTGGCAAAGCCGGTATTCCTTTCAAGTAGAAAGTATAAAAAAGTTTCATCGGGAAAACTATCTGATGCAGCCTGACTTGGCCGTATGCTCCCTCAAAAATCCCAGATCCTCCCGTCACGGCCAAGAAGGTATCCTCGTACGTTAAATAGGGTCCCTGGACAGATAAGTGGCCGTAGTCACCAAAGTAGAAGCTGTAAATGGCTTCATATCGATCGCCTTTTTTCTCCGGAACGTGCTGGATCAGCACACAGAGACCGGCTGTGATGCCGAACCTTTTCTGCAAGTCACCGGAGTAGAGCTTGTTGGTGAAAGGAACCAGATCACCCAGCGAGTTTACAGGTTTTTGACTCAATTTCAAAACTGCAGGGCTGCTTCGATCTCTCTCGTTGAGTTCATAAACGTGGAGCTGTTGAACTCGGGCTGAAACGTGAAAACCCGAACGTCGAAATCAATCAAAAGTTTGAAAATTTAACGAAGGAACAAGGTGGAAATTGTACTTACAGGGTTCGGGAGTAGCTGGTTCGGCCTTCTTGTTCTTGTTGAAGAAGAAGGCTGTGGTAGATAAGAGCTTAGAGGATCTTGATGAGGTGAAGAAAGAAGTTGAGCTGTTGAGGCCATGGAACCGAGAAGGCTTTGAATAAGAAAATTTTGAACCTAAAACTATGTGAGATTGGGGAGGTGAACTGCGATGTTCAGCTAACTTGACCGAGGACATCAGTTTCAGAGAGGTGGACTGTGCCATTGACGGTGTCGGAAAGTTGGTGAAGACGAAGAAGACGACCGAATCCCAGGACGGGGAAGATTTTTTTTTTGGGGTGATAGTTTATGACCACTAAACTAATCACAACTTCGATAAAAATACAAATGTCGGACCTCGAAGTTATATTTTATACACTAATCTACATGTGAATCATGTAAAATATTTAGAATACAAAACTCAAAATTCTGGTTTATTTTCCAAGACAAAACGATGGTAACAAAAGAGATGAACGCTTGTGATCAATCCATTAAAAAATGGCCCCTGATTAGTTTAATTCAACGACATTTTCTCAAAATTTTCGGATAATTTTACTCTATTTAAAAACAATAAAAGTATTTTATCAAAATCATCATTATATGTAAACGGATTTAATCAATACCGTAAAATTTATCATATATATTTTTAAAAATAATTTTGTTTAAAAGTACCATTTCTCTAATTTTATTTTATTTCCCCCTAATTTAACCGATTGAATAAAAATAGCAATTACTTTTAAAAGTTAAAAATATTATGTCTTACCTAAAATAATCAAAACCGATGGAATATTTAATGCTATTTGAAACCACGTGTCATATTGAAATATAAAGTGTCATAGTTAAAATGCTCGAGCAAACAATTGTTTTAACAAACTTCTTTTGCATCTGAATAGCTTTGGGCTAAAATAACACATTTTGTAATCGAGGTTACATTATGTTATTTTACAGGCACCTTATGAAGGAAGCCAATATGCACCTTTTGCCTATATGTGCATAATGTGTCCAATATATGATCGATTAAAGATTCGTGTCTTCACATTTAGTCAGAATTTCCGCACCGGTTCTTGTGATAAGGATGGTATGTTCGAACTGAGCAGCAGGGCTGCCATCGGAACTCAAAGTTGTCCAGTTGTCCGGCCATGTGGTGCACTCGATGCCTCCCAGTGTAAGAATTGGTTCTGCACCATAAATGCATCGATATACATGCATGAATATCTAATATAAACGAAAGAGCATGGCAGCCGTCGATGTCAATGTTCATGTCCTAGGTGCAATTGGTAATGAAAAGACGGAGCCAATCTTCGGCGTCTAAATTTTAAGAAAAATCATTGAAGCATGTAACATAAATGTTGCATGTGAAACAATTAACTTCAAGACTTCACCTGACAACTTGGTTACTAATCACTCAACTGAACAATCAATAGCTTTAAAATATTAATGTGCTTTAGGTTGACGTATTAATCGACAAGTACTTTCAGGTACGGTAACATATAGTTGCAAATAACCGTGCACTTGTTATCTATCTACTACATTGTTTCATCCTCTGCTCGTCCATCCTTCCATAAATAAACCCAAATAAACCGAAAATGTCCAAAGACATTTCTCGATCAACTGATTGAAATATCTCATAAGCATGCATACTTTAAATCAGAGCCCTTGACTATATAACACGCATGCAAATAAAGATAGGATCGTGCTCACCAATGGTAAATGTTTGACCTTCAACCATGTGACCAGGACCTTCATTGCCTGTCAAATAATTAATAATTACATTTAGATGGGATTGGATTGGGAAAAGATCAGATATCATACAAATGCCAGACTAGGTTATCTATCATCCGATGAGTACTTACGATGATGAAATATAATTGGCTCAGAATGAAAAACAGTCCCGACACCGTGCCCAACAAAACGCTCCACCACTCTATAACCATATTTTTCAGCATGCTCACTGAGATGATATTAACAACATACAGTTAAAATGGACAAGGGGTTCAGGAAACCATTCAATATGACACATACAACCAGAGAATTGAAGCTATGACGTTGTTAAGTATCATGTAACTTTATCCAAAGCACAAGACAAGCATGCCTAAGCTATAATGCTATATCAGGGCAAGCTTGTTCTACACTGAATAATTATAGACTAGATAACAAACAATTAATGACACTCGAGCGCTAATTATTTGAAAACTTTTGCTTCAATTAAGTTGTTTGAAATTATTAATAACAAGCAGGGTTTTAAAAAACGGTCCGCGACCGCGATATAGCGGTTTCGCCGCTGTCCGAGTTACCCGCGACGGCCGTAATGGCGTCCGCGACGGCCACAATCATGGTAAATCCGAAATAACCGAAAACACGACCGCGACCGCGATTTGAAACCCTGATAACAAGTTCAAGGTTTCCATGTAATTGAATAGATTCTAACACTAACAAATGACTCTTGATTGGTTCTCACGGTTTAACCAGGCATCTGTGCATTAGCCATACGCCAGATGATACGATCATATAATTTTATGTGCACATATCTTTAATCCTTTCAAACCCTAAACAATAAAGGGGGAAGGTAGTGAGAAAACCTTATTCTTTTTTCCAATTTTTTTGAAACTAGCACCATCTTTGCAAACAGCTATGCCTTTCTCCAAGCACTCCTCGGTTACCTTCAAAAAAGGGTAAGTGTGAATCCAACGAGTCAATTACATGTAAAAAGTTGCACTTTAAAATTAATCATATCATTATAAAGATGGTTAATTCTAAGCAAAGAAGAGCTTCACACAAGTGCAAATAGATCTTACAAACTCTTCAAATAATAGTGAAACTGGTGATAATTAGAATTCTTTGTCTTTAACAAATCATAGTAAAACTTACTTGTACAAGGCGTTTAACTGGACCACTGACGTCTCCACAGAGAAATGTCCTGGATGTGTCTCCATGATAACCCTAAGAACCAAAGGATATTCCATGCAATTTTGTTATTGCAAGGTATTGCAGCTTAACTAAAGGAAGTTCATGGCCATATAATCGCTAATATATTTAAATAAACCTGTAAGTAAATAAATAAACGATAAAATTGATTCCTAAGAGAATTAACCATATGGTATAAATTGAGGACATACATTTAGGTACACTGTCACATCTATGTTTATTATGTCTCCATTCTGCAAGAAAGATTCAAAGATGAGCGTTAGTGATAAAATATACTAGCAATGTTTGTACAATCACAAAGGCCCATATACCAAACCTGTAGCTGGCGAGAATCAGGTATTCCGTGGCACATGCACTCATTAACTGAAGTACATACACTCTTAGGAAACCCACCATACCCAAGAGGTGAAGGATAAGCACCCGCCTCTATTATCATCTGGTGCACAGCTCTGTCAATTTCATCCGTTGTCACTGATGGCTGATAAGATTTTTTTAAAACAAAACTGTTGATGAGTGCATTAATTTAAACAGAGTTGTCAGCTAAATGATTTTAAAGAATATATAGTGCTTAAAAAGAGATGAACCACAGTGATGAATTAGAATATCCATTAGTAGCAAAATCTAATACTAAAAACAATCAAGAATGATGATTGCTAATAACTTCAGATAAGCAGGAAAGTTTGACAAGAACATGATTCTTCTGCAGTTAAGAAAAAGGGGTGGGGGATGCCGATAAAAAACAATGTAATTGCTCACCCTAACTAACGTCCCTGCATAGTTTAAGACACAAGCAGCAAGCTCACCAGCAGCTCTCATTCGAGCAATGCCTTCAGCATCATGAATCTGATGTTCACTGGAAATTTCGGGCAATATATTTGAATCTAAATAATGAGGCTTTGGTATGTGATCAGGCACAGGAAGACGTGGTGACACCTTCCCTCGTCTTAAAGGTGGCGGCCTTCTAAACTCTGTTGTACCCTGAAGTTCACGCTCTCTGCATAAGATTGAACAATCTCATAGCTAAATGACCAAGCAAAATGAATCCTTCAACTTATGTACTAATGCTATGTTTGGTAGGAGTGTAATTCACAAGTTAGCAATAAACTTATGAATCCTTCACTATGGAGACATGTAGGATGGACATCTAAGATCCCTATAATTTTATGCATACTGTTTATGAAATTTCCGGAGGGGGGGGAAGCGAAAAGCTGCATACTCCATATAAGTATTTGAAGTGCAGCATGATATGCTACTAGCTTAGCAGCAGTTTCCTTTCTCATTCTAATCTTAATAAGCACACGAGTCATACAAAATTTTCAACAAGTCCTCAATAACCCTTTGCCCAATATTTTCCCGGCGAGCTATATGAGAAGCATAGCATCAAACTAAAATGAAGCCATCCAACAGACCCTTCGTTAATTTCAACTTATATGAAAACATAAGATTCCCATACAGTAAAATACAGCAAAAGGCAAAACTTTCATATACCCGTATGTCTACCCTTCAACAACTCCACATAAAAGTAATCACTTCAATCCAAAATTAACATCCGAACACATTTCATAATATTAAAGCAACGATTTTTTAATGCATCAGAAGAGGAATACCAAACCTCCTTATTCTCAAGGCCTCCTCTAAGCCTGATACCCTCTTGGAATAAACAACCAGCTGTGGTCGAGGACGGCACTCTTTCCCTGAATGATTAAAACCATTAAGGCAGCGTAGAAAGAACAGACCACCACCATTTTTTGCAGTGCTTAATGAATTGGGTAAAAGAGATCGCGGAGAAACAAACCGTGGAGAGTAGAAGCATGGGAAGTGAGTGGGAACCCCATGAATAGAGTTGACTTTGATGACGATGAACACGATTGTTGGGCATGTAACAAGGAGGAAGGGAGATGTGAAGAGAGGCCATGACCATGAGAAACTGAAACACAGAAACCCATTTCTAGATAATACTTCACAATCACTCACAAGTCACTAGAAGGGTTTATGCCTTGGGTTTTTCCATTATTTTTTAACAGAAAAAATGATTTTTTTTGGTTGATGGGCTGGGTGCAAACATAGAATGGGAAGGAAGGCCTTTATCCTTTTATGGACTGATCGACTCCAGCATGGTTACTTGGTGGGCGCAAGGTTTCCATAGAAAAGCAATATTATGTCCAATATGCCTTATTATCATAAAAGTTTTGATTAATTTTTTATTTGCCCCCTGCTCTTGCATTTCTGTTGATTAAGTCCTTTTTAAACGTTTCTTTACTATTATAACCCATTTAATTTTTTTTTTTTTGTAATCCCTCAACCTGTCATGTTATTGTTTTATATATTTATTTGATTACTCATTTTGTGCATTAATTTCATTATTACTATAATTGTCTATTATTTATTCATTAATGATTTTTCTTTTATAGTGTCATTCTTTTTGAAATATTTTCATCAATATATATATATATATATATATATATATATATATATTATTTATTATTATTACCATCATGATCATGATCATGATCATGATCATTATCATTATATATATATATATTTCAAAATCATTATATTTTTCATTTTCATTATTTTTCATTATTATTGTTATTATCAATAACCTGTTATACATTTTTAGGATCACTTTTTAAAAGATATGTATCTCCATTAATAATTTTATTTAATTTTATATTTTTACTACTATCATTATATTTTATTATTATTATTATTATTATTATTATTATTATTATTATTATTATTATTATTATTATTATTATTATCATCATTTTTACTAACACATTATCCTTTTTCTTTTGTAGAGTCATTAATCTTTTTCCTATCAAAACAAGACAATATAATCCTTTTAACTTTTAGGTGTAGTGGGAGTGTTTCAACTTTCTAATTGATTATGATGTTAGATGTAGACCAATATTCATGGGTATTCGGTCTTATCTAATTCAAAAAAATCAATGATGACTCCAATTACAATAAATTCTTTAAAACGTCAACACATTCGAACCATCACTAGATAACTTTAAAAACACAAAATCAACAATATAATGGAGAATGATTATCGACATTCTACAAGCCACTTGTTTGATTCCGACCATCACTATTTACGATCAAGATTAAGAATTTATTAATTGTAATACCTAATTTTGTCGGAACATTTAGAATCGAATTGAAGAGGATCGAAGACCAATCGAAAGAGGTTCGTGCATCGGGATCAAATTAATTCAAGTGGCTTTGGTATTATTTAAATTTTTGTCATTTAAATTTTGTTATTTTAATTTTTGCCTTTATATTAGCAATATTTGCATTTTAATCCTTTAATTTCCAACTTTAATTCATTGTTGTTTGGGCTTTATATTCTGTTTTTATTTTAATTTAGTCACTAGGTTTGCTTATTGATTTTGACCATGCATTTTATAATTATTTTAATTTAGCCATTCTGTGTTTATTTATTGCTTTTAATTTTTTCTTGAAAACTTTAATTATATTTAATTTGGTCCTTGACTGTCTATTTATTTTTTTAGATTAAATCCTTAGATTTAGACTTACCACATTTTGGTCCTAATTTAGGTTACCATATCCTTTTTTTTTCTTCTTTAAAGCTAGATTCTTTTCTATTTGTCCTAAACTTTTAATTTAGACAAATTCCATAATTGATTAAAATTAATTAGGATTACTATTACAGCTTTCACTTTAGGCCTAATTTCAAACTTAGTCCTTAAAATTAGGGGAATTTTTAATTTGGTCATCATTTTTGCTCGATGTTCCATTTTAATTATTCGAATCAAATAATTGGTTAAAATTAATTAGGAATAATATTAGAGCCTCCATTTTAGGCTTAATTTTATATTAGTCCTTTAATTTATAGGAATGCTTAATTTGGTCCTCACTTATGCTCGAGGTTCCATTTTAATCAAACAAAATGTTATATTAAAATTATATGATTTTAGGTGTTTCAAACTCACCTTAAAAATAATTGGCTGCGACTCCCATCTTTTCATAAATTTCATAAAAACCTTTTATTTTCCAAATCGTCGGATTGGTCTTCCCATCGAAAATTGGTTACGAATGATTTGGTCCCTTCGAGTATCCATATGTCATATCGTATTAGAGGTGTAAGTTGTAAGTTTTATATGATGGATTGGTTAACCTTCAAAAAATATTAATTTATATATAATATTATTAATTAGATTAAATACATGTATTTATGTTTCTTGCTTATGTTAGATTAAGATATGTTTATGAAATAATCACGGTGTTCCCCTACATATAAGGGCGTACGACTGAAGGTCGATATCCCAATTCGCCAAGGGCTGCAACTTCCATCGATCAACTGGTGGCCACATTTTGCAGCTATGGTGGTCGATAAGCCCACGTCTCTGTTCTGCCAAATATGGGGCTTGGCCATCTCATCCCGCATTTGGAGTTTGCTAAGCGCCTGGTGGTTCACCATGGTATCCGGGTGAGCTTACTCGTCGTCACCACGAGTGAACCCTCCGCAGCCACGCAAGACCAACTCCTTGGCTCGCCTCACCTCCCTGCTGACCTCCACATCATCCATCTTCCTCCGGTCGATGTCGATAAAATGATAATTGATTATGATGATGCTCTTGTCCTAACCCGGCTTTGTACCATTACAGGCGAGAGCCTTCGTTCCCTGAAGTCAGTCCTCATTGAAATAGGCAAACCGAAGGCTCTGGTTACAGACTTATTCGCTACACAAGCCTTTGATGTTTGCAAGGAATTGTCAATTCCTGCTTACTTGTATTCTACTACATCTGCTGCATTCAATGCCTTCATGCTATATCTGCAAAGCTTGACAGTGATGTTAAGTCATAAGTGTGAATTCATCGATCTTCCCGGACTGATTCAGGTCCCGGGTTGTAGCCCGATATGGATCGCAGATTTGTTAGACCAGGTTCGGAACCGGAAGATTGATGAGTACAAATGGTTTCTCTATCATACTATATCTGCCAAAGCATGACAGTGATGTTAAGTGTGAATTCATCGATCTTCCCGGACTGATTCAGGTCCCGGGTTGTAGTCCGATATGGATCGAAGATTTGTTAGCCGGTTGCCATTAGCCTCTGGTATATTTATCAATTCCTGGCAGGATCTTGAACCTATGTCAATCAAAGGTATACAACAGAACCCTTTCTTCAAGAAGATACCAACGCCTCCTTTTTACCCTGTTGGACCTATTATAAAACAAGAAGAAACACTGAGCTATACAGAATGTCTAGAATGGCTGGACAAGCAACCACCTGATTCGGTTCTCTTTTTGAAATTCGGCAGCGGTGGGACTCTTTCATTTGAGCAGCAGACTGAGTTGGCTTGTGGTTTAGAACTGAGTCAACAAAGGTTCATGTGGGTGGTAAGGAAGCCAACGGATACCCCTGGTGCAGGTGCTATTTTTCCACTCAGGAGAAGTAAACGAGAATGATCCCAAAGTTTATTTGCCCCGAGGGTTCTTGAACAGTACTCGAGATGTGGGTTTCGTTGTGTCGTCATGGGCTCCTCAGGTTGCCGTACTCGCCATTCCTCCTACGGAAGGATTCCTATCGCACTGCGGGTGGAACTCGGCGTTGGAAAGCATAGTTCACGGACTGCCGATAGTCGCGTGGCCTCTTTACGCTGAGCAAAGAATGAACGCGACATTGCTAGCGGAGGTTATGGGAGTAGCAGTTAAGGCAAAAATGGAGGCAGGGGAGACCGGGAGAGCGTTATCGGGCGAGAAGAGATTGAGAGAGTGGCGAGGAAGGATGATGGAGGGTGAAGAAGGGAAGGTTATTAGGTGTAGGGTTAAGGAACTGAAAGAAAGTGCTGCCAAAGCACTGAACTCTAATAGATCCTCTTACGATTCGCCTTCCTGTGTTGCCGACCAGTGGAAGACTGAGCTTAACTAGTCAATGAAGCCATTACAAATTCTCCTCTGCAAATAGAAAGGAACAGTTGTCTATAAAATATAAATGTCTGTTGTTGATATACACGGCTGGATCCACATATTAATATTACCATGTTTGTATAATAAATGATTATTTCTTCCACGTCCTTTGATGCTTTTTATTCTTAACTTACAAAATGAGTCCACTATTCAAATATTAAGAGGATAAATTTTATAAAATATTATGAGGGCAAAAATAGATTATCAATATAAAGTAAATATATATATATATATATATAGTTTGAATTTTTTTATGAGTGCGAACTTTTCTATTCATTCCTCGTAATCCATCCCTTATTCTCTATTCATGAGTATTAACTTGTCTAATTAGTTAAAATTTGGATTTAACTAATAATTATGCTATTATGACTATTTTTTTTGTAATTATATTTTAATCAAGTGAAATTGATATTTTTTTCTCCTTAAAAACAAGGTTTCTTAGAAAGAAAAGTATTAGTTGTATAATTTAAATTTGAATATTCAGAACTTGATATTAAAATGATAAAGTAAAATACGTATTTGTTATAAGTATTCCTACCCGAGTTCATGAATACATATTTAATTTTATCATTCTTTTAAGTGGCGTTTGGTTTGTTGGAATGTTTAAGAGGGAATTGAAATTTGTGAAGGAATTGGTATCTGAATCTGAATATGAAACCTGTTTGGTTGGCAGGATATTGAATTGGAATTCAATTTCATATTCTGTTTGGTTCGCAGACATGTCAGATGAATTTGATTTCAGTAATGTAAAATGACAAAATTGCCATTTTTTTGCTTAATTTTAGTTTATTTTACAACTTACATGTAGTAATATATTATAAAATTTAAAAAATATTAAATTTTCATTTTATTGATTGATTATTCATTTCAATAAATTATAAAAATCATACTAATAAACATCATAAGTTAAAATCATCTCAATTAGGGATGATCATGGGTCGGGTTGGGTCGGGTTTTTGGTCCACCCGACCCGACCCGAGAACAAGGGAACCTCCACCCGACCCGAATATATGAATTAGAAACCCGACCCGAAATAATAAAAAAATTATTTTTATTCAATAAAAGTAGTGACTTAATTGAAAAAATTATATATAGAGGGGTATTATTGTAATTATTCTTAAATATATAAGGTAAAATTATATATTTTTTCGGGTAGGTCGGGTATTTTCACCCTAAATCTGAACCCGACCCGAATATCACACATAAAAAACCCCGACCGACTCAAATATCACACTTACAAAACCCGACCCGACCCGACCCCGAAAATTTAAAAAAAAAACCAGACCCGACCTGAATATCATACTTAAAAAACCCCGACCCGAACCCAATTTTTTTAAAAAAAAATCCGACCCGATCCCAATTTTTTTAAAAAAAATCCGACCCGAATACCAAAAGATTGATGAGGTAGTATGGCCAAATTTCACTTTCCCTCATCCAAAAGATTTCAATTCGATCATGTTATGGATGTAATTTATTTTCCCTCACTTTATGAAATTGAATTCCAATTCCCCTTTGAAAACTTGAATCAAACATGAGAAAGTAGTGAAATTGGATTCTAATTCCCCCTAATTTCAAGGGATTCCAGCGAACCAAACACCACCTTAGGATAAGCTACACGTTTAGTATTCTATTATCATTTTGTTCCATTTTGATCACTCAACTACACTTTTTTTACAGTGAACACTCAGACTCCCATACAAATGTCTTGCTTGAACTCATGACCTCTAGAGATAATAATTATCTCTTAATCATTAAAGTTGTTTAATTCATACGCTACATAAGAATGATTGAGCTTCATGAACCCAAAAGAAAGAGAAAAGCCAAGAATCATGAGCGGCAGTTTCTGTGTAACTTAGAGGATCATTCATGGAAAATTCTTACAAATCATGAATAAAAAAAGCCCTCATGGATTCAAATCTTTATAAGCTTTTAAATTTCTTATTGTGGAACTTCAGGTAGAATACTTCAAGTAATTAAGGCGAGATAATGTCAATGGTCTCACGTGGGTTAGCGAGTGATTAGTGGTTTTTAACAATGTATTACGAACGAACATGAATCCCATGGGTTTTGACAATGTCAAAAAGAATTTAATTATGCAGCAGGTCTAAACCCCATGTTGCCATCTATACGATATAATTGCATTATTCTACTGCAACATGAGCCATTATTTGTTTCAACTTCCTTACAAGAGCATTTAACCTTTCAATAATGAGCTTATTTTAAGGTTGTATTTGCATGTTTTTAAAGTGATTAGTCAAGATTCGTAGCCTGCGTTCTGCAGCAGATCAGAAGCATGTGCCCATTACCACAGAAAATGATGGTTAAAATTAAAATAAACTAAAGTCAGAAGGTTTAATTTGATATTTATCCATGTATATTTTTAAATTATAAAGGGGAAGAGGGTATTATCGTAGTTATTCCTAAATATATAATGTAAAATTATATTTTTCCCGGATTGGGTATTTTCACCCTAAATCCGAATCCGACCCGAACAAAACATAACTTTTAAAAAACCCGACCTAAACCCAATTTTTTTAAAAAATGACCCGATCAGATCGGTCGGGTTCGAATCTCATGCCCATCCCTAGCTGTGTGTGCAAATTGATGATTTTAAAATAAAAGATTGAAACCTAACTAAGGGGTTGTTTGTTTACTTCAGAATGATTAAACGTTAAATGATTCAAATGTTAAATGATTCAGAGGCTCTGTATGAATTAACTCTGAATGTGACATGTTGTTTGATAATGACTCTGAATCATTCAGAATATACTTCTACGCTGAATCATTCAATATTGTTTTGTTGAATCAGTCAGCACTGAATCATTCAGAGGTGCGAAACAAACGCGCTGAATGCTGAACGGTTCAACATTCAGTGCTAATGATTCCATTAAGAGACAAACATACAACCCTAAGTTTGTATTTTATTGGCTCCCTCACAAGAAAAGTCAGTCCTCTAAACCCTGTATTAATGGTCAAATAACTCCAAAATTAATTTGGAAAAACAGGTGCTACCCAACATCCGTTGGCATTTGCAGAAACCAACAATAACAATAACAATATGATTATAGAGTTTCCAAATTTAAGGAAATAATATAGTTTATATAAATATATTTACCACTAATATATAAAATAATAAATTTTCAATTACTTACAATAGTAACAATAATATTACTTTACGTCAACTATGAAGTTAATTGGTTTCCAGAGAATAATATATTAATATCCCTTCGGACAGACTACGTGGCTTTGTTTCTTTAGACAAGTAGAGAATGAGGCGCATTGATAACATGTGTAGGTACCTGTGCTTCTGGTAAATGAGGTCCCTTGTGATTTGGACATATATATCCAATTGTATAAAACATTTGAACCTCTGTTTTGACCCATGACTTTAATTCATAAAGAGATAAGGCCTCATGGGTTAGAGAAGCCCCTGTTGCAGCCCATCAGCAGTGGATAATATCTTAATGATAAAATATTATTATAATAATAATTTAAATATTTATATTTATTGATTTAATTCTTTTCAATATAAATTTAATTCTTAATTCTTCATTTTTAGTAAAAATAAAATACTCTGATTTAAATGAAAGTGATTGTTAAATTATTAAATCTTTAACAGTGTGAATATATTAATTTGTATAATGATTTATGTGTATTTTATTGTTAATATATTATTATTTTATTAATATGATAATTTGTATTATCTTATATTATCTTATATTAAATTATTTTTTTAAAATTATTTAATGATATGATATTTTATCATTTTAATAATATAATATACTTTTATCGTTATGTGGGTTATTATGTTAATATTGTAAATAAATAAATTGCTTAATCATATTAAAATAAAAATAATTTAATCGAGAAAGAATGTTAAATACTAAATTTAACTAAAATTTAATGATAAAAGTAAATATTGAATGTTACAATTAATAGGTTAAAGTATATAAACAATCTTCTAATTGTAAGATGTTATTTTATTGAGTCAATCGATTATTAAAAGTTACAACATGATCTCTTGACTATAGGACGATATTTTGTCGAGTTTTCTGACTATTAAAAATTACAAAATGATCACCAAACTATTCATGTATTTCAAATTCGTCATTTCTGTTAAAAAAATTAACAATCGTCTAAGTTAGACGTTAACTTGTTGACTGAGATATGATAAAATATAATTTCAAAACCGTTTGAGTTGTATTTTGTTGATCTACTTTTCGTTTACATTATATCGTCAAGTCAATGCTTTAAACATTATGTCGTCGAGTTAGTGCTTGAAAGCAACGACGATATCAGTAAACATTATTAAAATAAGATTTTATCATATCTCAGTAAATATACATCAACAAAACATCATCCTCATGAAGTCATTTTTAACTTTTAATAATCGATACACTCAACAAAATAACGTCTTATAATCGGAGTCGGGTTTGTATACTTTACCCAAATTAATAATATGCCGAATAGTAAATGCATGTGGATATACATAACCAACGTGGTTGCTAGTGCCAGCTGATATATGTCAACGGTGTAATTTGTGGTGCGCGGCACTTCTTCAATCCTGTTAACCTGCCCTCTCTTCCACAAAAATTACCTGAAATACTGTCATTGTAAGAACGAGCCCTAAAACGGTAAAAGAAATATCACAGACTACAAACCAAACCAAACTAGTGGTCTAAATTTGAAGCCGATTCCTGCAAGCTTCAGTTTATGTTTCTACTCTTCCAGCTAGCATCCCAAATTTGCCTACCTTTTCTCTAGAGGCATGGCCACCGTTGCATACGGTGGAGCTGCCATCGGACTTATCAACAAACCTTGCAACGCCCGGAAGCTTATAAAGCACCCATCTCCGTCTCCTTTTCTCGGCAAGAAGTTCAAACTCAAGCTCTCCTCGAAACCTGACATCTCAATTCCTAAAACGACTGGAGTTTTGTCCTTGAAAGCTGAACTGATCGATGCGGTCCGTGAGCTCTTTGTGGGAGTCGGGGTGGGTTTGCCATGCACTGTCATGGAGTGCGGTGATATTATTTACAGAAGCACTTTGCCCAAGCCCGACGGGCTAACCCTAACCGTGCCTGGCGCTATGTTGGCTTTGGGTGCTCTGTCTTATCTGTGGGCGACTCCGGGTGTGGCTCCTGGGTTTTTTCGACATGTTTGTTCTTGCTTTTCTTGAGAGGCTGCTTAGACCAACTTTCAAGAAGGTGAGTTCTGAGTGAATTCATATCGAATTTTTCAATGGGGGATTTATTTTATGGTTGCAAAGCGTTGTTTCTGGCTTTGCAGGATGATTTTGTTTTGGGAAAGAAGCTGGGCGAGGGTGCTTTTGGCGTCGTCTATAAAGTTTCCTTGGCTAATAAGAAGCCTAATTCAAAGGTAAGGCTGCGTGTTTGATGATCAATTTATTAACTTAATATCTGAATTGGGATGCTAAGCTGTTGAATTTTGTTGCTTTCGTTAGTAAGTAGTTTAAGATAATGTTGAATCCTTGTCAGAAAGAGGGTGACTTGGTTGTGAAAAAGGCTACTGAATATGGTGCGGTGGAAATATGGATGAATGAGCGTGTGCGAAGAGCTTGTGCCAACAGTTGTGCTGATTTCCTATATGGCTTTCTTGAGGTCGTCATTTTTATTGCCTACTCTCAGTAGAAAATTTTTAGTTTGATTTTTGAGACTGACAATTCATCTGTTGCCTTCATACTGAAATTGTCGTCTTTAAAACATCTTCTAGGGTTCCTCAAAGAAAGGAGGAGAATATTGGCTTGTATGGCGATTCGAGGGGGAGGCAACACTTTCGGATTTGATGCAGAGCAAAGAGTTTCCCTACAATGTAGCTACTTTCTCTGATCAGCTTTTCTCAGACAATTCTGCCCTCTTCTCTACCTTTGTGGTTGTAGTTCTGTAGGTGGATGGTTAGATTATTAGGCCATATTGAAATAACCTTTGAATGTTAACTGCTTTTCTCGTTAAAGACTGCCTTGCGGATCATCGCTTTATCGAACTTCACTTTAGCCCTTTAATTGCCAACTCTATTTGTTTAATATCAGGTAGAAACAATGATACTTGGGGAGGTCCAGAACTTGCCCAAGGGCTTGGCAAGGGAAAATCAAATCATCCTAACTATCATGAGACAGATCTTATTTGCCTTGGATGGCCTTCATTCAACAGGAATTGTGCACAGGGATGTTAAGCCCCAGAACATCATTTTCTCAGAAGGTAAGCTTTACTTATTCAGAGAACATTTTCCAATTCAAACATTCCTAGATTAATTCTTTTTCTGTTTCGGAACTTGAGTAGGCTCTTGTTCGTTTAAAATCATCGATCTTGGAGCTGCGGCAGATTTGAGAGTAGGCATCAACTACATTCCAAAGGAATTTCTTTTGGATCCAAGGTAATTTCATATCTATAAGCAACATTGATATTTAATTGTGGACTGATGTTTAACTGTGACAAGTATTATCCAAAATGGTAATCATTGTCATCCATGGCTGTTAGGGCTTTAATGAGAGAATAGGCTTTGATCCATGGCATGCATAACCATCACTTGCCTGAAGAAGTGAAGCATTCATTTCATGATATGTGGATACATATCAAACAATATGATACGCAGAACTGTCAGATCATTATGGACCTTAAGTAAGGAGATACATCATCAATGTTAACAGCACAAGAACTTCACTAGGTTCGATCGAGTATCAACAAATTTTAAGCTCAAAAGTTAACAGAAATACTCCAATAATTTAGCTTTTGCATAGAAAGATCAACCAACATCGATGGCATTTCTCTCAATAACACTTTCTCAGTAATAATTATCCATATTACTTGGTTCTAAAGCAAAGGTTGATCAACAAAGAAGCAGAAATTAAGGCCAGAGTAGGTGTAATAAGGTTGGTGGGGAAAAGGGTTCTTTTATGGTTTTTGCATTTGGAATGAGTGAACTGCAACAAATTTCTGTTGATGTATTGCAGTTCTCTACAATCCACTCTTTAAGTTGACATCTAACTGATACTCTTTAAGTTCTCTTCAATTTTTCTGTTTTTCTTAGATATGCTGCGCCGGAGCAATATATCATGAGTACGCAAACTCCCTCTGCACCCTCTGCACCAGTGGCAACTGCACTTTCCCCTGTTCTATGGCAGGTTTGTACCCCATTAGATTATCCCAAGTTTATTATTACCTTTTGCTTTCATCAACACAGAATTTTGTTGTTGTTTGCTAACAGATGAATCTGCCCGATCGGTTCGATATCTATAGTGCTGGTCTCATTTTCCTTCAAATGGTGAGTGGAGGATAACGCTCAAGTAATCTTTACTATTGTGTTTTTTCTTTTCTTGAAGACCTTTTAATGTTAATGCTAAGCCGATGCTGAAAGCAGATATAGGTTAATATCATCCAAACTGTTTTCTTCTAACAGGCATTTCCATCGTTAAGGACAGATAGTGCATTGATTCAATTCAACCGTCAGCTAAAGAGGTGTGACTATGACTTGGTTGCATGGAGGAATACCGTAGAGCCTCGTGCGAGCCCCGAACTCCGGAAGGGATTTGAGCTGCTGGATTTAGACAATGGGATAGGTTGGGAACTTCTGACATCGATGATTCGTTACAAAGCAAGACAAAGAATTAGTGCAAAAGCGGCATTGGCTCACCCTTACTTCGATAGAGAAGGACTACTAGCTTTGTCATCCGTACAGAATTTGAAGCTACAAGTCTTCAGGGCTACACAACAGGATTATGGGGAAGCTGCCAAGTGGATAATCAATTTAATGGCGAAATCCGGAACAGAGAAAGAGGGTGGTTTCACAGAAGCACAGCTTCAGGAGCTCAGAGTCTGTATCGAACTTAGTCTATTAAAAATGCATTGTTTTGCAACCATCATTAACTGGATAACCTTCGTCTGAGTTCTCTTCATTGTGTAGGATATACAGCCTAAGAAGAAGGCGAGTCCACAAAGAAATGCTCTTGCTTCAGCTCTAAGACTCCAGAGGAAGATTGTTCGAACATTGAACGAGAGCATGGACGAGCTTAGCAGACGCAGTAAAAGCCTATGGTGGAGCAGGTGGATCCCCAAGAGGAATAGAGTTTGTATGTCTACACACACAAACATATATGTTTGATTTCTGTTAACTGATCAGGAATTTAGCTGAATACTATAGGAACCTTTTGCATGCACGTGTAAAGGCATTTGTGAATGATAAAATTAGTTGGAAGTATATACATGTATAGTTCTGAATTAACTGAAACTGCTATGAAGCTAGCTGTGTCCTTGGCATAATATTCTAAAGATTTGATTGCTTAATAGGCACATTGATCAGATAAAAGAAATCCCATCCGTACATGATTAGTTAATTACTAGAACTCTCATGCAAGTTTCTTCCTAATTAAGCAAAGTCGGTCATAATTTATTTACTTATCATGTGTAAGCAAATAGGCAACTCCAACTGTAGCTAATGGGGCATTGGAAACCATTAGACATTTGATTTGAATCAAAGGTAGATGGTGGGATCCTACATGCAGTAAGGAAAGTTGCATTACAATAAGGAAGCAGGTCATGATGAGACTAAATAAACTATTTGGTGGGTGCTTCATTCATCATTCAAAATCATACATGTTAGGGTTTTGTGATCCGAATTTCGTTTTAAATTTATGTTATATGTTAGAGTTTTGTGACCCGAATTTCGTTTGAATTCATATTATATGTTAGTTTTGTGACCCAAATTTCGTTTGAATTCATATAGTATGATAACGTATACACATAATATAATATAGTAAGGGATGAGAGGTAAAATAAGCAAATCAATAACGTTGAAGCTATTAGAGGCAATGACATTTGCAGATCACGATAACTTCACGTGCAACTCTGACCTTGTTCAGTACAACACAACCAAAGCCATTTTATAATTGTGAATTAATGCTGTCTCAGCTGTAGCAATGCAGACGTAAAGCCACCACTTTATTGATCCGAACCCTGTAAAGCCTTTGATCACCGTGCATTCCACACATTAATTTATGTAACCCTGTCTGTCTCTAATCTTAGTTTAATTCCCCAAAGCTTTGGGTGTCTAAACACTCCATATTAATTTAATAACCATTTTGATAATCTGCTGGGACACCACCTCTGGATTTGACCACAGAGAAATTAACCCTTTATTGGAACCAACTACAGCTTTAAACACCAATGAATTATATATGAAATTTGGCCATGTACGCCTACAAAGCGAATACAGTTCATATAAAGAATTTGATCTGATAAATCAAAACCTTGGAAATCATATTATTGAAAGAGAAAACTACGAATATCGAAAGATTAGCATTCATATATCATAAAACGGATATTATTATAATATTTAAAAGATAGCATGCACAAGTAGAAACGGCATCTTCAAGTGTGGCTCATAAAAAGAAGGGAGAGAGAGCTCTTAAACCGATAATGACAGCCTAAAAATCTCGTTCAAAGATTAGTAATTTGTTCATTAGGAGAGCTGAGTCAGCAAGGGTTAATGGAAGTTGACGTCTTGAACTGAAGTGGGGGGAACACGAGACCAAGCAAGTGGTGCCTTAAATTTAATCAGAGCTTTGCCTTTAGAATTTAAGTAAAAAATGGTTTTTTTTTAACCAATCACTTAATTGGGTTTTGAGCTCTTACCTTGCTTTTACAAATCTTATTACTTTAGTATTACAGGGGAATCTATGGTCGGTCATATATAACCTCGAGTCTTGAGTTTTGATCATCAAACTTCTGGTTTCTGATGGATATTCCCACCTGCCAAACACTTCACCAGGATTTCAACCTCATGAAACCCAGAGGTGATTTGAATTCCACTTCCCCTACCAAATCTATAAAGAATTACATTGATGTCGCTGCACTGACATCTTTATTCTTATTTGGTCTGCTGCCAACTTAACATATTTACATCATATTATATATATATATATATAACTGATAGCTACATTCTCTTAATATACAACACACAATCTAATCCGTTTATGTATATTTACCTAAAGGATTTTTCTGTTTTGCATCGTTCTTCTTCTCGTTCTTTTTATATATTTTTTATTAATAAAAATATCAGTTCTAAACTGACAGTCGATTTTAAAAAAATATAATTAGTCATGTCCTTGTATGTAGGACATTAAACAAGTGAGTGGACGTTCATTAATAATGAATTATCATGTAGGATTCAACTACTTTTTTAAAACAAGTAGTTGGTCCCAACAGGAAATGAGGAAGAAAGCAATATGGTCTCATCATCAGCCATTGATAATCTCCTCGTCATCCACAAATTGGGAGGGGGGAGCACAACACCATAAATTATTTTGAACAATGACAAATTTGCTAGCTTATTGAAAATTATGGCCGACCCATTGTGCTGCTGGCTCATACCTACAAGACCAATGATATAGACAATGACATGGCAGTAACGTTTAAGGACGGATCGAGAGATTAATGTCGCATTTATCTTTTATAAATTTTATATGTTTTTTTTATAAAAAATCATATGTTCGCCTATGATCATAACTTCATCAATGATAATGTTGATAATTGAGTGTATAAAATGAAGAATGGGATGGATTCCCAAAGTGAGAGGGGACCTGTGGGGTCGGAGAGGAATTGTCGGGTGGGTTAGAGGGCAGTGCACGTTGCCCTTTCATGCCCATCGCTGGGTCTTTACTAGACCAATGTTAAAGGCAGGACCACACCCACCGCCCCTCTTTCCTCCCTATAAGAACCCCCCACTCCCACATCTCCTCCTTCACTTCACTCTTCTTCTTTTTCCATATTCATTCATATTTAATCATCAAAAGGAACAAAGATGAAGATGAGCAGTGCCACCATGGGATCCTCTAAGAGAAGGCTATCAAGCAGAGGCCTTGGAGGGGTTCTCCGAGAGCAAAGGGCTAAGCTTTATATTATACGAAGATGCGTTGTTATGCTCCTTTGCTGGCATGATTGAACACCCCCCTTCTACCTACTAGCCATGGAGGATTTGGGGGGCTTTTTTTCTTTCCCTCTTCTGCTTCTTATTTTGGTGGAGGGTGTAAATACTGGCGGCGGTCGGTGGATGTTATCGGAGAGTTAGAAAAGGAACAATTTTTGTATGCAATGGCCTCAGGGCCTAGATGTAATTAGATGGCTTGAATCAAAATCCTCAATATTACTTTATTATTTAGCAAAAGTGGCGTTTTTCTTTCTTTCTTTTTTACATCTGCTGGTTTCTGTGTGATGAATTACTTCATATGTTCACAGACTTACCCTAATCAACATCACGAGTGCTTCTATATTCCAACAATTTGCGTTTGAATTACAATTTTGATGGGGTCAAAGCAACTGATCTTTAACATCATGATTTTTAATTTGGATTAAGTGAAATAGAAGTAGAGAGATCCAATCAACCTAGACTCCATGGGTGTTGTTAGATGATAAATTCATGGGGATTGGGCAGGAAAATACCCCATGAGCTTTTGCCCAACTTGCCAGGTCTTTTCAACAACTGCTTAAAGCTGTTGAGCCTGCGTTAGTTGATGCATACAAATGGAAATGTCCACGTAACATGAAAATGATGGTAGAATGGCCATTGCAAATTAGTTTAATGCTCCGATTCTTTTTCCCCAAAAACCAGCTTCAAGATTTGACCATATTTTATTAATACTAGCATTAGGCAAGTAGGTAATGCCCTAAAAGAAACCTAAATCAAGCTTAGTGGGAGTCATCAAAGGCAAAAATTATTATCCTAAACTAGTTCAAGTTGTTAAGACGTCTCCATCATAACCCCCTTGTTTTATTTTCCTTGTCTTGGACCAAACTACATTAACCCATGTTATATGAATTTTGTTTATTTGTTATTGATTTTTTAGGGACCATATTGTTAAATTTTAATATCTAAAAATTACAAAGTTATATTTTATCAATAAAATATATTTAACTTAATGAAAAGTGTTTAGAAGAAGGGTAAAGTACACAAATGATCCCCTGACTATAGGGGCTGCTTTATTGAGTCTCAAAATTATTGAAAGTTATAAAATGGTCTCACGACTGTAAAGTGTTGCTCTGTTGAGTCTATGACTACTTAAAGTTAAAAAATAGTCATCTAATTATTTATATGTTTCAAACCTGATATTTTCCGTTAAAAATTGACGATCGTCTGAGTTGGACGTTACTCTGGTCACTAAGATGTGATAAAATTTGATCCCAAAATTGTTTGAGTTATGTTTTGTGGGTTTAGTCTCTGTTTATATTATATTGTCGAATCGGTGCTTTAAACATTATTTCATTGAGTCAATGCTTGAATGCAACGATATTATCAGTAGATATCATTAAAATATAATTTTATCATGTGATAAATATTAAGTTAACATTAAACTCAAATGATCAATATTTTTTCTAATAAAAAATTATATATTTAGAACATATAAATATTTAAGTATCACTTTATAATTTTTAATTTATGTCCTCTACCCTCGGGAAAAATATACTTTTATCCAAAACGTTTTAAATAAGAGAAAATAACCTCAGTGACCAAAAATCCCAGATAATATACGATTTTGATCAACTTTTTTTGGATTTGCGAAAATGACCAACAAAATCGCAATGCGATCTTTAATTCACATTGCGATCTCCACTATCATAAATTCGCGTTGCATTTCGCGTTGTGATTTTCTATTTCGCGTTGCGATAGTCTATAATGTCGTTGCGATTTTCCAAATTCGTTGTGATAGTTAAAAAAAAAGATTTTGTTTCTTAAGAATTTTCTCTAAAAAAATAATATCCGCACGAACGTGTCGAAGACACGTATTACCACGACCACGACTACGACCACGACATAAAGAGCGGTAAAGTAGAGGTGTCTGTGGGTCAGAACCAGATGCAAGTGAGTTAGGGAAGTAAAATTATTGGACCACAACTCATAACCCACGTTCACGTGCGCCACCCGAACGCTAAAGACTGGTCCTCCCGTCTTTATCCTCTTAAGTGACATTTGGTTTACTGGGATCACTTGAAATTAAAGAGAATTAGAATATAATTCTACAACTTTCTCATTCATAAGGGAGAGAAAGTAAATTTCAATATAATAGAATTGAAATTTTTAGAGGAGGAAATATGAAATTGGATCATACTATCTTCATCCATATTTTGGTATTTGGGTCGAATTTTTTTAAATTTTGGGATCGAGTCGGATTTTTTTTTAAAAAAATTGGGTTCTGGTCGGGTTTTTTTAAGTTTGATATTCGGATCGGTTTGGTTTTTTTTAAGCATAATATTCGGGTCGGTCGGGTTTTTTTAAGTGTGATATTCAGGTCGGGTTCGGGTTTAGGGTGAAAAATACTCTACCCGACCCAAAAAATATATATAATTTTACCTTATATATTTAGGAATAATTACAATAATACCCCTCTATATATAATTTTTTTTCAATTAAGTCACTGTTTTATTGAATAAAAATAATTTTTTATTATTTCGGGTCGGGTTTCTAATTCATATATTCGGGTCGGGTCGGATGAAACTTTATTTTTTGTCGGGTCGGGTCTCGGGTGGAGGTTCCCTTGTTTTCGGGTCGGGTCGGGTGGACAAAAAATCGGACCTAACCCGACCCATGTTCATCCATAATTGGGATGATTTTAACTTATAATATTATTAGTATGATTTTTATAATTCATTGAAATGAATAATCAATCAATAAAATGAAAATTTAATATTTTTAAATTTTTTATAATATATTGTTACATGTAAGCTATAGAACAAACGAAAATTAAGCCAAAAAAAAAATAAGAAGGGCAATTCTATTATTTTACATTATTGAAATCAAATTTATCTGACATGTTTGTGAATCAAACCGAATATGAAATTGGATTCCAATTCAATTTCCTACCTACCAAATAGATTTCAGATTCCAATTCCTTCACAGATTCCAATTCTCTCAGAAACATTCTAGTAAACCAAACGCCACCTTAAGATATTTTATTATGTGCTTATATTAGGTCATATAAATGATTTATTATTAAACTTTGTTGGTGATTTTAAGATAAAAGGTTTACGGTTATGAAATATGACGGAAGATATAATAAATTTAAACTAAATTAATTAAAATGTAATATTAAGTTGTCGGCCACGTATAAGATAAGATAGGATTGACAAAATTTTCAGAGTGACAGTGTGTGCCATGACTAGTTTTAAACTGAAGTGATATAGAATAGGAAGTAATGAGGTGAGGTGTAGGGCTATGGTCAAAAGAATGATTGAACCCACGTGCGCCTCTTTATTATGATTCAATATATATATGATGTACTTGTCGTTAGGAATGATAAACGGACGGGTCGGATACGGATACCACTCTCCTATCTTCATACACACTTAATATTTTCAAATCTACTACCCGTCCACCACTTATGATAGGTAAAAATTTTCAAATCCACACTTGCCCACTCGAGTACATTCTCAAATCCATCCCCACACCCACTACCCAACTGGAGACGTACCCGACTAGACCCGCCTGATAGCAACCTTAAGTTATACATAAGTAACAAACATAAAACAAACACGTCCATTAAGAAGCATAATAAAATAAACCAAGGATTATAAGTTGTATCTTATACAATATTAAGATTTATAAATTAGTCTATAGAATTACACCTTCATAATAGTCCAAAATTTAATGGGTATTAAATGTGGGGCAGATGTGGGGCGGGTAAGGTCTCAAACCCATCACCCGCCCACTATCCGTGATGGATATCACTTTCTAAATACACACCCGCCCACTACCCACTAAAGTTATATCCATTCTCGCCCTAATTAAAACGGATATAATACGAAATCCACGAAATTATATCCGTTTACCATCCTATCTTTTGTCCAAATTCATGGACTTACAAAATGGATCAGCATGTGCAATGCATATGTATGTATGATCGACCAAAATTCTCAAAGGCTCTAATGAAAATTAGATGCATGAGAGTGATGTTGTGCAAAGTTGGGACAAGAACTGCCCCCACTAGGATTTCACAAGAGAGGATTGGAATATTACTTTAAAAAAAGGATTTTCCGTTGCTACAATGTTTAAAAAGTTTCCTAAACATCTCATCAATCTGATTCCAATGTTGAAACTAAGATGCAATAATGGTTTCTAAGTGTCTTTCTTTTCATATGATTATGAAGTTTTATCAATAATAATATATTAAAAGCTTTTAAATAATCAAGTAGGTGAACTGTTGGAGAAAATGTCGAAAATTGTATTCATCAAGCTATTATATCTGGTGCTTGCTAACTAAATGAAAAAAAAGTATTTGACATGTCAAATCTTTGTGTACATGAAATAGACACATCGGGTGCTTCATAGTTTATTGTCCCCTTGATTGTAATATTCAAACATAATAATAATAATAATAATAATAATAATAATAATAATAATAATAATAAAATAATAATAATAAAATATAGCTTCTCATAAGGAGGATGTAAATTGGGGTAAATAAGCCCAGCCTGCAAGTTATTTCTGGTGATTTGAGGCAACAAAACATGGATTAAGATGCCTTAATTACATGTTATAACTATGAACGAGTTAAGTTTGAGTCCGATCAATTACAAGTTTAAATTCAGATTAATCGAGTTAGATTATTTTTTATTTAATCATTGGTATCTGATATATTGAACGACTAATCCGTAATCGAATATTGTAGAAGATTATTATAAAGACAACCTCCCAACCTGAGATGTTCCATTCACAAGTCAGAATTTGAACTGCTAAACTTACTTAAGGGATTTAATGTTTTACCCTACTAAATCAATTAAGTGTTGATATCAAGTTGGATTTTAAAGTTCATGTCAAAACTGAATGGTTTAATTACAACTGTTTAGAGTTATGACTATGAGAAGAGCTGTTGAGATGAAGAGTGAGCAATCTATGTTCATTGATAAAAACTACTGGATCCTTTGGCTTTCTGCTCTTACAAATTATAATAATGGAAGCTTTTTGGTTAAAAACAACAACTAGAAATGCATGGAATGAGTATTGACCTTAGCCAAAACCAGCATGTTACCGACGGCTACTAGTCAGATTGCTGTGATCCTTCATGTCTGTTCAGTTTGCATCATGGCATTCAACGAGTTCAATATACCCTGAGTTATATATTCGTAAATTCTTCAAACAACACTCCCTGTGGCCCATTTTCAAGGCTCAAGTGTTCTGCTCAACAAATCTTTAATGGCAGACCTGCCTCGGACACCCTATGTAAGTGCCCTACACTGCGGTGGCTTACGACAAGCTGCCAGCCAACATGGGACTGTTGCAGGGGGTCATGTTATATTCTAGCTTTCACAAAAGCAATCATGCTCCATAAAGAACGATGAAACAAGTTCTCTTGGGGACCTTTTTGATCAGTTTTTGTAGGCAGGCATGGTGGACTCTTCTCCAAGCCATTTTCAATCCAACTTCCAGTATGATCTGTAAAGCTCGACAGGTTCATGAACCTTTCACTCATCTGAATGTGCGATGATGCCTTATCAGCCTTGGTTGATCGCGACTTCCCCTATTGACTAAATAGGGTCCACACGGCATTGAACTCAAATTGCCATGACAATCTCCCACCAAACAATCAAGAGATGAGGAAATTTCTCTGTTGCACAAATATTGTATATAGTGTATGTATGTATGGATGGACGGATGCATGCATGCATGGATGTTCCTCCTGTTGTCTGCTAAATAGTCCTCTGGTTTTACTAATGTTAGAGTGGAATTTAACATTTATTTTCTGGTTTTACTGGTGATGTTCCAATCGAAATAGTTCATTGGGCCAACAATAAGTCAGCTGCATTTTCTGCATCTATAAAGTAAAGGAATTAGCGTCTATAATGATGAAACGTTTTCAGAGTACGTTATAATGATTACTAGAAGCAAAACTCGCGAGCTAGATTTATAAAGCAGACCAACATCATTAATAACAATGTCTTAGATCCGTAGCTGAAACAAAAGGGTTGCATTCAAGTTCTAGGAAGAGCAACCTCCAGAAGGTCGAGTATCTCCACCGTCACTAAACATGGTTCAAGCTTCCCACCAAAATTTACAGTAGAGATAGCCCCAAAATAATGAAAGATTGATAAGGTAAAGTTTTCACAAATATTCTACAACGTGCTTCTCCATGACTCATGACGAGTATTTAGTCAGTTACCTTTGCTCCAACCCCAAGCAATATAGCTATCCTGTGATGCAAAGTCCTACAATTACAGTTAACAAGTTCATTATAAGGATATATTAACCAAATCGTAAAACAAGTTAGGAAAGGATATAACATACAAGCTGACTCAGACGGAACTCTGGTGGTGTATCGAGTTCTATGTTTATTGGGTCATCACCTTCAAGGTTTTGACATTCCTCCAGATCCTTCTTGAGATGTTCTGCTCCCAACTGAGCATAATCGGAGAGACGGGAATTGTTGTCTGGTATTCCATCATTACCATTAGCATCCCTCTTTGGTGACTGGCTCTGAAGGAGCTCATCACAAAGAGAGAGCCCTTCCACTAGCTGTTGTGAATCCAACAAAAACTGCGATTCACCATCCCACCATTTTGAATCTTCCTCGGCATGATTATCATTGTCATTATTATCATCATTATCTAACATCTGATTAGCATGGTTTTCTTGACCAGGTAGATCATTGTGACTGGAATTTTCACATTCAGCTTGAACTTCATCTTCAACATACTGCATTGTAGGATGCTTTGCTGAAAAATCCTGAGATAAAGAGAACATCAGAACCTCTTTCAATATGGCCACTTGCAACACAGAGCACATGAATGCATTACCTCTACCGGTTAATAACCACAATCCGTCACATGACAATTTCCTACTGCTTAAAGTAGATAAAATGCAGTCCATGGATGATTCCAAGGCCCATAGCTAGGAAAACAAGAACAAAATATTACCTGAGCAGGGGGGTTGATGAAAGAAACTGTATTATCCTGTCCTTGGTCATATTCATGGCATTGCCTCCCTATTCGTGGAGGGTCAGGTGTCACAGGATCTACTTTAACAATCATTGTATCAGTCATTTCAGGTAAATCCCGCTCAGTTTTATCACCCTGTTTGGTTTGTTGCTGTTGCTGCTGATGAAATATTTTAGAAATAACAAACTCCCCGTCTTTTTCATCCTCCTCAGTTCCTAGATGATATTGGTGCATCACCCAATTAGTCTTCTCCGCTTTTCCACCTTTGGCCATAGTAATATAGAGAACCATAATCTTCTTGCATCCTCTTCGAGCACCATCCAACAACACTGGTTTGGTCCTACCAGTCTTATGCCAGCGGACATCACCAAAATGATCACCATGGATCTTTCGACGTTTCCGCGTTCCAGTATTGTAAGCTTTGATAGCTCGATGAAAGAAGTGGGACACACTTCCATCTTCCTTAACCCCTAAAGTTTCAATTCTTTGAATTAATGTTAGTAAAAAAGATGCTTAAAGAAAAGAGTAGGGAAAACCCTTAATCCTTACCAACCTGGTAATTTTTGGGGATGTGTATAACAGATACCATCATCATTTTCAATGGTTGGAATGAATTCGTTAATGAACGGATGGGGTTTTGAATCTTCCACACCAACTTTTGTTAGTAAATGCCATATGATCTCTTGATCAGATGGATCAAATTTGACACCTCGAGGTAACCCTGGCCATTCTTGATTCACCTAGAAACACACACCTTTAGTTGCAGTGCACATTACATGTACCAATTTCCTACTGTTCATGGTTATGAACATTAAGCAATGCCATAATATTTATGGTTATTAGTAAGTCAAGCAAGAAAGTTGATCACTTTAACAGTGAAATTAGAACATCACAAGTTCTGTTACACGCCCATTAAAACACTAATACTTGGACTTATGATTGTCAAAACAGTTATAATCCACAATATCTCCAAATATCATTGAATAATATTGGAATATTAGTAATAAATCTAGACATCTAATACTAGACACAAACCACATTGCAAGTAAATAGCTATATAGATAGTTGTAAGACAAAATTTAGCTCAGCTGAGATTAGGATTTGCCAAGATAAAGGAGAGCAAGTATTTGCAAAACAGAGAACCTAGCCTGATCGATGGAAGAGATACGCGGATGACCTACTTCGGATGCTATATGTAAAATCTTAGCTTCTATAAAGTAGCAGTTCAAGGCATGGCAATTTAACATTTCGTTTTATTGCTTATATCATGTTAAGGTAGCCATACGAACCTCGAGAAAGGCCCCGGGCAACTAATATAAACTCAATCAGCACAGACCAATATAAGCGTGCTCAACTAATCTCATTTAGGTACTCAAAGCATATAAGATAAAGCAATGGAAAAAGAAACTTATACATCACTATTGTCAATAATATGATGGCAATTAGGACAAGATTTGGTTGGGTTGCTTTTCCATGTCGCCCTTTCAGGATCAGATGCACTCCTGATTTTTGTTGCAATTCTGTTACCATCCACCAACCATGTTCTGCATAAAGCACACAAAAAAGAGAAAAAGGCGCCACTGTTAGTAGTTCTGTTCTCCATTTTGGTATGCAATCATCGAGTCAGTAAATAAAAAACCCAGAAAATCCAACATCTATATCTGTTTCATTAATCGAATACAACAAAAACCCTAATCATAAACAAACAATTTAAATGAATTAAACACTGCCCATACTACCTAGAAAATACCCAGAAAATCAATAAACATTTTTTTTTCAAAAATGGAGGGATTTTAGCTAAGGATCCAAAGTTAATATAAGGAAAGGATTTATCAGAAACTGGCATAAGTACCCAAAGTAATCATTTTTTCTTCACAGCATCAAGAGAAATGGAAGTTAGTCAACTTACCCAGCCATGGATCAATTCTCTCTCAGCTTTCAGTTCTGGTGAAAAGGGGTTATGTATATTCTACAGCAACATTAACTATTTGCTTCTGAATTTCAAACCGGATTTGTGGGATTACTACCACTATTGTTGTGCACGAAAAGGAGTATCAAAAGACTTTCTTTTTCTATAGAAAATAAAGGAAAAAACATCTTTTACTACCACTGTCGTTGACTACAGTTTTGATCAACGCCCATTATTGCCATGGTTAAGACTTGAAAAAGCTACCTTTTTTTTATTTTGGCTTATTCCTCCTTTAATTTAGTTTAATTCTTAGTTTAGCCCTTTTACTATTTTTTTCTCTTATCCTTGTACTATCCTTTAATCAATCACTTTGTTCGAACTATCGTTATTATTAAATTTAAGTCGCGTGACAAAATTATATCATACTATACATTAAAAAATAAATAACTCCTAAATTTTTTAAAAAATATATAAAATATATTTAAAATATATAAAATCGAGCTTTTTCATATCCGATTTGAATAATTTACGAACAAATAAAAAACAATATATTAAAAAAATTAAATTTATTATATTAAATTATTAATAATATTAACATTTATATATTTTTTTTATTTTGAAAAATACAATTTAAGACTTATATGTAGTTAAAGCTCACTTCCCAGGTCGATTCAAGCATTAATTTTTTTTTTTGAGTTAAGTTTAAAAATTTTAAACTCGTGAACTTTCGAGTCGAATTGAACTTCAATTTTTTATTTTGAATTTGAGTCAAACTTGACAATTTAAACAATTGAATTTTTTAACTAAACTTAATTTTATACTTTTCGAATTAAATCAAACTCAATAATATTTAAATTCTCGACTCGTTTAAAGCCCTAGTTAGACCGCGTAACGTTGAGATTAAGTCGGAAATAGAGAATAGAGAATATAACAGTTTATACTTGGGATGTAGGCTATAGCATTCGTGGACCCGGACCCGGACCCGGACCCGGACCCGGACCAGGATCCATTTGCCATTAACTGCCTGCAGTACCCAATACTAAGCTCCACTATCTCAAACTATTCCATTCTAATGTCTTGGATATGACACATTAAGAATGTATGGGAGTCAAATATTTGATAGAAAATTTCTAATATTTTTATCAACTACTTGATTCAAACATGCAACAACAATACAAAAAATTCAATATCGTTGAACTCGTTCAGTGTACTTAATTATAAAAGAGAACGCTATTCTTTTTAGAGAATTCGAGTTCGAGTAGTTGTATCAGTAAGATGTGTGTTGTAAATAATTCTAGAATTATTCTAGTAACTTTTTATCATCCTATGTTTACTTGTGTTTATGGTCCTAGTCCTGGGCTAAACACCATCGCCATACGTATGCGTTTGGTTCCTCCATGCATTTAGGTTTAGCTCAACAGGCTTCAACTACAAATGCTACGCGTGTTATGGAGAGTGGATCGGTTAGGTTAATATTTAACCCATCACCAACCTCTCTTTCCATATTTACAGTTAAAACCACAAAGCAATTAAGGCTTCATTCGAATCATAAACGTCTGTTGTTTGTACCATTCCAAACACATGCACGCCTTAATTTAACACAAAATCAGGTTTTACGTCTTCTCCAGTTAACATATCATACATATTGAAGATAAAAACACCATGCACGTGGTAAACAGAGCTTATTTGAAGTTGATTGAGAGGAAAGCAACCATGCAATTGCAGCAATGGCGTCGTTGGCAGCAAATAAGAATTTTTGCCATCCATGTGGCTTCAGATGCGGAACACATTATATTTTATGTAAATTTATTAAATGTGATCAAAATTAATACGAACAGATTAAATATAATTTTTATTTTTAAAATATTATGAATGTGTATATGGCCAAAATTATTGAAGTAGACACGATGTGGATGTGAGTAATGCAAAGAAATCAACTTCACGCCGGTGAAATATTGGTTCTTTGAAAAGTATAAAATATAAATAATCGATGGTTGATAATTAACGCAATAGTTAAATACTTGACTGGAAATGGAATATTAGGTACTAATTCATCCAAATCCAAATCACGTTTTAAGAAATAGGGTAAAGTACACAAACGGTCCCCCGACTATACGATGTTACTTTATTGAGTCATCCGACTATTAAATGTTATGAAATGGTCTCTTGACTATAGGGCATTGAGAGTCTCCCAATTATTAAAAGTTACAAAATGATCACTCGACTATTCATATGTTCGTCATTTTTGTTAAAAAATTGAAGTTAATTTGAGCTGAACATTGATATGATGACTGTGATATGATAACACATGATCTCAAAATCTTAAACGACTATCATATGTCAGTCCACATGTTAACGTTCAGCTCAGAATGTCATCAAATTTTTAACGAAAAAAAGACAAGTTTGGAACATATGAATAGTCGGGACACATTTTATAACTTTTAATAGCCGAGGGACTTAACAAAATAACACTTTATAGTCGAGGGACCATTTGTGTACTTAACCCAAAAAATAATAATAAACAAATTGTCTTCATTCATTGATTTTAATATATATATATATATATATATATATATATATATATATATATATATATATATATTGTCTCCTCTACACAAATTGCAGGTTTGGAAAATGACAAGGGTTTAACTCATGAATAAATGATAATTATTTAATATAGTGACACTTATAATTGAATTAGTTTTAATCATGAAGTACTCCTCATGTTTCAAATTTAATCTTAGTAATTAAAAAACATTAATATTTAAAAGTTAACATCTGTACTGGACTTATCATCAAATTTATTGCAGCTGAAACTCATTTATACCCTGAAGCAACAGATAGGTACAATAAGTTTGTGATGGTGATCTTCAGACCATGTGAACCAGCTGGCTTAATTAAATAAACTTTTTAAATAAAAATTATTCATGCATGAAATTTGATAATTAAGTTTGATCGCTCCTCGCCAGGACCGTTCCGTTCCGACACACATGCAACATACTACAGATATAATGTAGAGAGTGGAATAATAACGTTAGGTGAGGACCGACTAACAATGATACGTTAGGTGAGTCAACCTGGAATGAAATACGTGCTTCCTCTATCTCAGTTTCCGCTTCATCAAGCACCCACTTTGTCAACAGATCATTTATGTCACTTTAATCTCTGCACCCTGCACTTGTTCTTAGGACAATTTAATCTGAAACTAAGGGATTCTAATATGATAGTCAACTTTTTTTTATAAAAAAAAAACAAGTTTTAGGTCGGGTTTAAGTTAAGTTCGGCTTGAGGGCGAAAAATCTTCGATCCAACTCGATTTGAGTATAATAATGTAATCTCATACAAATTTATAGATAATTGTTATAATACCTCATCTCTCTATAGATTTCTTAATTAGGTCTTTATTTTACGTCGAATCGGGTCAGATCAAGTTTATATTAAAAATTTTAAGTTGGATCAATTTTGAGTAAAGAAAACATATTTTTCAAGTCAAGTTAGATCGAGTCAATTTAACCAAAAATTCGATCCAACTTGACCTGTTGTGCTCTCTACTTATTACCCAAATTTGATTTCTTCATATCGAAGCTGAAGCCAATTCACCACGCATCATACTAATATTTTTTTATAATAATTAATATTATTATACATTTAAACTATTGTAATTATGTAATTACAATTTGTGTTATTAAAATAACAAAGAAAATTAAGATGCAATTATGTTTTCAATCTCAATCGATGAGGACTAAAATTTCTCATAATTACACAAAAATAAAATTATTAAGATGATAATTATATTCTAGTATGAAATTTACATATTTTTTATCCGATAAAATCTCTATCTTTGGTCTATAATATTATATATTTTCAGAAAATGGAAATTATATAATTATATTAGTTACTAATGTATAGTTAGTTCTAATGTGTGTTTTTTGAGTTTTGGTGGATTTATCTTGTATTGAAATTCGGACTAAACTTATAATTATGTACAATATAAGTACTAATTATAGAATTTAACCCCTTTACTTTCAAAAGAAGATGTAAAACCCTATACAAAATTAAGCCCCGGGATTGCAAGTGAAAGGGAGGGCGATCCATTTTAATTCGTTCATCGTCGTCACCGGTCACGAGTTTCTTAGCTAGCAGTCAAACATGTTTAATTTCTAAAACAATGATGAAAATTTATGAAATAAAAAGCAAAAAAAAAAAAAAAAAAAAACTTCATCTCGCTGTAATGAAAGTGAGTTTAGTAGTATTGCTTGCAGCCCATTTTTCAAGAAGACATAAAAATGAATCTACCACAGTTGATGTTAGTTTTATTTACGGTCGGACCAAACAAATTGCATTCTTAATGGAATGTTTTTTATCCAAATTGTATAGGGATGGGAGAGTTTGATCCATGGCTGAAGTTGTTGAACCCCTGACGGGTAGTTGGATCATCCGCTGCCTCCCTATATATAGACCAACCACTCTTCTCTCTTGTTATATCTTTCAATAACGCCAAAAATTCCATAACTTGCTAAGATCCTCAGCTAGTTCACAGGCATGACTGTCTCCACATCCAATGGCCGTGTCCTCATAGTCGGAGCAACCGGCTTCATCGGTCAGTTTGTGGCGGAAGCCAGCTTAGATGCTGGTCGACCCACTTATGTTCTGCTCAGGCCCAGCTCGGAAAATCATTCCAAGAACAAAATTGCCAAATCCCTTCAAGACAGAGGCGCCATTTTGTTGAATGTATCATCATAAATATTCTTCTTTTTATCATAGAAAGAGATGGGTTTTTTTTTCCTTCTTCTTCTTCTGATGGGTGGATTTTGTCTCCAGGGAGTGGCGAAAGACAAGGAGTTGATGGTGAAACTGCTGAAAGAGCACCACATTGAGATAGTGATATCAACTGTGGGTGGTGAAAGAGTGCTGGATCAACTGTGTTTAGTCGAGGCAATTAGCTCTGCCGGTACAGTTAAGGTATAGCTCCGAGGCATTCATTTACTATAACTAGTACAAAGAAAAGAAATCGGGTTGATTTTATTTTCTTGCAGAGGTTCTTGCCGTCTGAGTTCGGACACGATGTGGATAGGGCGAACCCAGTGGAACCCGGGCTCAAAATGTACAAAGAAAAGCGGCAGGTCAGGCGTTTGGTTGAAAAATTGGACGTTCCCTACACCTACATTTGTTGTAATTCCATTGCTTCTTGGCCCTACTACGACAACAGGCATCCTTCGGAAGTCATTCCTCCGTTGGATCAGTTTCAAATCTACGGAGATGGAAGTGTCAAAGGTAATAAATACAGTGACAAAATCACTGTTGTCCTCGTCTACCACATGTGATAAGGTTAGGTGGTCCAGTATGTCAATAAATTTAACTATAGCTACTTACATTGTTATAATCTTACCGGTCGAAACTACGAAGACCGTTAGTCTAATATTGCTTTTGAAAAGTACTTTTTAACCGAAGTTGGTGTAAAGTTTTATGACTATTCAAGTTGGTGAATTCTTTGTTTATGTCTCCCGGTGCAGCTTACTTTGTTGCAGGCACCGATATAGGCAAATTCACCATGAAAACTGTTGACGACATTAGGACAGTGAACAAGTCGGTTCATTTTAGGCCAGCCTGCAACTTCTACAACATGAACGAGCTTGCAGCTTTGTGGGAAAGGAAAATCCGACGAACCCTCCCTCGAGCTACCGTCACTGAAGATGACCTTCTCTCGGCCGCGGAAGGTCCATGATTCTCATAGACCAGTCCTGTTCAATTTGAACCTCCCCTGCATTGCTTAACTTAATTCATAGCTTGAATTTGCAGAGAATCGTATCCCACAGAGTATTGTTGCGTCATTTACGCATGACATCTTCATAAAAGGTTGCCAAGTCAATTTTTCGATAGACGGACTGAACGAAACCGAAGTGAGCAGCCTGTACCCAGATGAGCCATTTCGAACATTGGATGAATGCTTCAATGACTTCCTAATGAAGATGAAAGGTGAAAACACGAAGCAAAGCAATGAAATCCCGGCCCCAAAGCCGGTGGTCGAAGCCTTTGCCATCACGGCAACATGTGCTTGACGTCAAAAATCAGCACAAAACTATCCTTGTTTACTTCAATTATGATGATTGAATAAGATGATTGAATAAGATGATTGAATGTTAATTTAGTCCAAGACTCTAATTAGTAAAGATCTGTTCAAGGTGGGAAAGAAGGTGCAGAAAGGAGAACGAAAACCACCAACTTGGCTGTTTTATCATGTACCTTGATGATTTGTCTAGTGATTTTGATTTGTATGCTATCCTGCATTTAGTAATAAAATGTGATATATTCTCAAAAAATAAAATAAAAAGAAAGTTCTAAAAGTGAATACCCTCTTAGTGATTTCAAGTGTATTATATTTAATGTTTAATAGTTATATGAATTCGATCTTAGTATATCAATATCTATTTTCACAGAACTTAAGTTTGATATTGTTGATAGGAATAAGTTTATCTCGATCCTTGATAATTTACTTCTTTTAATTTAAATTAAGAGTCACAACCGATAACTTGATTTCTATGAAAGTTGAAAGTCAAACATAACACCAAACCTATTTGGAATTATTTGAAATGTGGCAACAACAAGTAAAGTTCTTAATAGTTAAGAATTAAGTTTTGATAAAGACATTGAAAAGTCAAAGGAAATCCTCTACGGTAAGGAATTATGAGGCTGCAAAACAAAGTCAAAAAAGGCTGCAATAAAGGAAGAAAGTGGTAGCTTCTAAAGGCTTCAATTAGTCGGTTTAATTAGCTTATAAATATATGCAATGTATGAGATGTAATACAAAAGAAGGAATATGAGTGAAAGCTTAGAAAAGCTAGAGAGAATTGAGTAAAGCTTATCAAAACTTAGAATAGCGAGGTTGTGTTTGTAAACTAGTCGCAGCTAGTGCTGTAGTGTTGTAATATTGGGTAACATCTTTGTAATGTATTTTGCCTTGTATCAATAATAATTCGTGTTATAAATTACTGAGTGCCCATTTACGCTTCCAACAAGTGATATCAGAGCTTGGTTCGAGTTTAACGTGGTGAAGATGGTCAACATGATTCAACCACAAATCCCGAGATTGACAAAGACGAATTATGGTAATTGGAGCATTCAAATGAAGGCGCTACTAGGCTCCCAAGATTGTTGAGATATCATCGAGGATGGTTACACCGAACCTGAAAATGCAGTAGCAGAAGCAGTTCTGACCAATGAAAAGAATGTATTCAAGGAATGCCGAAAAAAAGATAAAAGAGCATTGTTCTTTATTTTTCAAGGAATAGACGAATCTATTTTTGAAAAAATTTCTAATACGAAGACCGCAAAACAAGCGTGGGAGATTTTGCAAAAGTCTCTCCAAGGTGCCGAAAAGCAAAGAAGAATCGAAAGATTTATCCCAAATATCGATCGACGAGCTTGTAAGTTCACTTCAAGCCCATGAGCAGAAAATGAAACAAAATGAAGATTCTGAAAATTCGGAACAAGCTCTACAAAGCAAGATGAATGTCAATGAAGGAGAAGATAATAATAGGTACACACGAGGCCAAGAAAATCGTAGTGGTTATCATGGAAGATACAGAGAAGGATTTAGAGACCGAGGTATAGACAGATATCAACAAGGAAATAAATCCCATAAAATAAAGAATCTATTGGAGATGATAAGCGGAGAAAAGCTCGGAATGGAAAATCAAGTTTGAGGGGGAGTGTTAGAAATCAAACTTGATTTCTATGAATGTTGAAAGTCAAACATGACGTCATACCTATTTGGAATTATTTGAAATGTGGCAGCAACAAGTAAAGTTCTTAATAGTTAAGAATTAAGATTTGATAAAGACTTTGAAAAGTCAAAGGAAATCCTCCACGGTAAGGAATTATGAGGCGGCAAAACAAAGTCAAAAAAGGCTGCAATAAAGGAAGAAAGTGGCAGCTTCTAAAGACTTCAATTAGTCGGTTTAATTAGCTTATAAATATATACAATGTATGAGATGTGATACAAGAGAAAGAATATGAGTGAAAGCTTAGAAAAGCTAGAGAGAATTGAGTAAAGCTTAGCAAAACTTATAATAGCGAGGTTGTATTTGTAACTAGTCACAGCTAGTGTTGTAGTGTTGTAATATTGGGATAACGTCGTTGTAACGTATTTTGCCTCGCATCAATAATAATTCGAGTTATAAATTACCAAGGGCCCATCTACATTTCCAACATCTTGCATTTAGTAATAAAATGTGATATAGTCTCAAAAAATATAAAGGAAGTTCTAAAAGTGCATACCCTATTAGTGATTTCAAGTGTATTATATTTAATGTTCAATAGTTAAATGAATTCGATCTTAGTATATCAATATCTATTTTCACATAACTTAAGTTTGATATTGTTGATAGGAATAAATTTATCTCGATCCTTGATAATTTATTTCTTTTAATTTAAATTAAGAGTCACAACCGATAGTTAATATGTGAGATAGAAGAGAGAAAAATGGAGTAAGAAAAGAGGTTATTCTAAGTTAAAATAAGAGACCTCTCTCACACTATTTTATCTCTAATCTAGAATAATTTATTCTTTTACGTCATATTTCTCCCCTTATCTTATATAAATTTATTATCAATTTCGACTCTCCCTTTATAAAAATAAAAATAAACTATCAATAATCAATGAGATAAATTTATTCCATCAACAAATACCTAAATATCGAATCGTATATATATCATAGAATGACTTATATTGATATTAATATAAATAATAAAGATGTAGTAAGAGCAAACATGAAGACTCTGTTCAAGAAGCTGTATTCAACATTGGATTGTTCGAGTCCAATCAATGCCAACCTCATCTCTTACTACTTCTCCCTCGTTAACTCATCGCCGAACTGCAAGCATTTACGCCACCTTCACGCTCGCTTGCTAAGGACCTCTCTTTACGACAATGTTGTTATCAGTTCTAGGCTTGTTTTGGCTTATTCCCAGCAAAACCACCTCGTCCCTTACTCGCTTTCTGTCTTCTTTCATATGCCCCAAAGGAATATCTATTCATGGAACATCATAATCGGAGAGTTCTCCCGCTCAAATTCCCCTCTTAAAGCCATAGATTTGTTTCTTCATATGTGGCAGAGTTCTGATGTCAGACCCGATGACTTCACTTTCCCGCTTGTTCTAAGGGCATGCGTGAGTTCTGGGCTAGTGAAACTAGCTCTTTCTTTTCATGGGTTGTGCTTGAAATTGGGTTTCGAAAGGAGTCTATTTGTTGCTTCTGCTATGGTCTTCATGTACGTGAATTTTGGGAAGATTTTTGATGCGCGAGTCCTGTTCGATGGAATGCCAAAGAGAGATGCAGTGATGTGGACGGCAATGTTGGATGGATATGCGAAGCATGAGGAACCGACGTTGGGTTTGGCATTATACAGAGAAATGATTGATGCTGGGGTTTCGCCTGATTGGGTTGTTATGTTAAGCTTGCTTTTAATGTGTGGACTATCGGGGTGGTTAAAGCATGGGAAGAGTGTCCATGGATGGTGTGTGAGAAGGTCATTGGGGATGGAACTGAATTTAGGCAATGCCATTGTCGATATGTACTTAAAGTGTGCTGTGTTAACTTATGCTCACAGGGTTTTCAATACGATGAACCAAAGAGATGTCATCTCTTGGAGCTCTCTCATATTGGGACACGGGTTGAGTGGGGATGTTAGGACCGCATTCGAACTTTTCCAGAATATGATTGCTGAAGGGGTTAAACCCAACGAAGTTACATTTCTTGGTATATTATCAGCTTGTTCCCATGGTGGACTAGCGGAAAAAGCAAGTTTGTGTTTCGAGATGATCGGAGACTATGGGGTGACACCAGAGTTGAAACACTACGCTAGCATGGTCGATTGTTTGGCGAGAGCAGGGCTTTTGGAGCAGGCAGAAGAATTTGTAAATGGAATGCCTATGGAACCTGATGCAGCCATACTAGGAGCTATTCTAGCTGGATGTCGAGTTCATAACAACGTCGAAGTCGGTGAGCGAATCGCAAAGAAACTCATTGGTCTAGAGCCAGAGAAATGTGGTTATTATGTGTTGTTGTCGAACATATATGCCGCCACAGGTAAGTTCGATGAAGCTGAGAAAGTTAGGCAGGTGATGAGGGGGAAGAATGTATCGAAAGTACCAGGTTGTAGCTCGATTGAGTCGGAGTGTTGGCTTTCCTCTTCGGCAAAGCAATGAAGTTATTTTGTTGGTTTGCTGTTCCTGCAAGGAGTTGCGCACAAATGTTGAGTATTATAGAGCCTGAAATTAATTGGGCTTATAGGTTTCAATGGGCATATATCCTTGGGTAACTCGAAAATTTCTTATGTTACAAAATTGTGTTTGGTCATTTTATTAATTTGGAAATTCGTTTCTATATTTTAATATTTTATTTCTCATAATTCGTTCTTTATTTTGATAATGATATTAGTTAGTCCAAATAATTAATACCTTTATAATTATTATATTAAACATGTGACTAATAAATTTATATAAATATTTTATTATTTCATCTATAATTACTTTTTTTTTTAAAAAAAAATTATTATTTATATAAATAGTTTTACTCGTTAATATTATAAAGGTAACGAAATCTAATAATAAGAGAGAGGAAATTATTTGCACACCAGTAACATATGTTAATGCGTATGGTCTTATCCACACTATACTTTCATATTTATTTGTATACCTTCAGCACCGGGCATCTTCACAGTAACTTTGAAGTTGCGAATGAATCCAGGCGGCCTGGTGTTTCAGTTAGACGCAGTAATCAAGATGCAATATAGTATTATTTTTTTTATTACAGCAAACAGTGGTTTATAGTACATGTTCATCAGCGGCTGTCTTCAATATACGCAGCAATATTACAGCTCCGGTTCATTACACTTAACAGCCCTTGTCTTAATTTTAGTTGACCACAACAGTCTCCTTTTATCATGAGATAAAGCTGTTTGATTCCCCACTGCCACCTGCATCTGTTTCATTCTTCAAACTCCAAACTTCAAATAGCCCTTTCTTAGATTCTTCACTAACACCCTATATATGCTATCTAATGCTTTTTACTCGTCTCTCACTGCTCTCTATTCTTTCCTTCTTTTTATATCACAAATCTCATCACCATTTTAAACAACTTGATATTGGAACTTGGAAGCTATAATATATCAGATCATGGTTTAGGGTTCATGCAAATCAAAAATTATAAATAAATCCGATTTGTATATATATATATATACTTACTAGCCCACATGCTTTTTGAATTTCTTACCCACACGTAGCTTAATATACATGTATAAAGTAAAGACAAGCAAAAGGAAACATAACTTACAAGTGTTTCTCTCTTGTACCCATATTAGCAATCACTAACAGGTGGAGGTTTTACATGGCTCCAATTAAGGTGGACTATTATGGTTTATTACATGAGGTTTGGTCCTACAAGAGGATATCAAAATTATCCTCTTTGTCCCCTATTAAAGTTAATAAGATCCTTGATCTTAACTTATTATAGGCTCGTTTAAACTGAGTTTAATGTAAGGATACATTTCTCTATGCTTGCACGGAAGTTCACCTCAAGAAGACAAAGGATATATACTTCAGAAGCAACTAATTATCCTGTTTAGAAGTTCAACATATGATGATATAATCAAGAGGCCATGGCTTAGGTGAAAAGCCATGGCCTTTACATTTCTATTTTCTTTATTTTTGTAAAAGAAAGCAAAATTTTGAATAAAAAATCTAAACATAAATAGAAAAAAATGTAAAAGGGCAATTCATTTACAAAAAAGAATCATAACTTATATAAATAAAGAAGTCCACGCACATACATATATCAGCTATCTAGTTTTCTCTACATATGAAAGTAAACCCCTGATTATTAAAAATAATAACCTAAATAATCTTAGATCCTACACGTATTGTATAAGGTTAATAGATAGTTTATGTACTAATGATATGGTTTTATAAATTATCAATGAATCAAATCAATACATAATATAAATTAAATAAATTTAATTATGATTTTATAAATTTTAGGGTAAAGTATATAAATGGTCCATTTGATTATGGGGGATGTTGTTTTGTTGAATCCCCTAATTATTAAAAGTTAGAAAATAATCCCCTCAAATATAGAATATTGTTTTGTTGAGTCTCTGACTATTAAAAGTTACAAAATGGTATGTGACTATTCATATGTTCCAAACTCTTTTTTTGTGTTAAAATATTGACGGTCGTCTGAGCTGGACGTTAACATGTTGAGTTAGATATGATAAAATCTCTTAATGATGTCTACTAGCACATTCATTGTTTTCAAGCACCAGCTTAACGTTATAATGTAAACGGAGAGTCGATCCACAAAATACAAATCAAATGTTTCTAGGATCAGATTTCATCATATCTCAACCAACATGTTGACGTTCAACTCAAACAACGACCAATTTTTAACGAAAAATGATGAGTTTGAAACTTATGAATAGTAAGGTAATCATTTTATAACTTTTAATAGTCGATGGACTCAGTAAAACAATTTTCTACAATCAAAAGTTCATTTTGTAATTTTTAATAGTCGAAGGAATCAACAAAACAACACCATTTAATCAAGGGACCATTTATATACTTTATCCTAAATTTTATTATATTATATATTTATATGTTATTGAAATTAAGAAAATAATAAAACACTCGTTCTCTCGTGCATAGAAAAACAAGCCAGACCCGTTAGGGTTTTCTCTCTAATATCTTCTCTCTCACACTCGTTTTTTTAATAATAAATAGAGGCAAAAACTTATGAAAGCTGAGATATGATGATGGTGGTAGTGTAACATCATGGGTAGAACAAGAATAAGAAGAAAAGAAGTTGGTCGTCACCATTCTTAATACATTAATGCATATGATCATAAATTCCCACCAAATCTGAAGAGAGAGATGGATAGATTTTGCTACAAAACAAAACCCCAGACCAGACCAGACCAAACCAAACCAGAACATGGAGTTTCATGTTTTTTGTCCCAACTCCAAGCTAAGCTGGTTCCACTCACCACAGCAATCACGTTCACGTTTTCTATGTTGGGTTTTGATATAAGGTTTCTCTTCCCACGAAAAAGATCCTCCACTCTTTTTTTGGCCTATTCTTCTCTCCATTGCAATCAGCATCATTGATGATCATACGATAACCAAAACCCCAAGCACAACCACCTCATCAATGATCATGCCATCAGACCTTACCCCCATTTCCTTCAAATCCTTGTTTATAATTGAACCCATTGTTTATGTATACAAACCAACCACACCATCATTATATATTTTGTCCACTGACAGGAAATACACATTTAAAACACTCCCAGAAATGGAAAGAAAAAAACAAAAGAGAAAAATGAACACCCCCATCATGAATACTTAGTAGATTAAAAAATAGTACGTATTCAAAGGTATTTTTTTTGTAAGTTAAAGAGACCTGTGTTCAAGAATACTGATGTTGGTCCTTTGTCTCTTAACATTCCCCGAAGAAGACTCATCCACAGACGTCTTCTCCATCACCGCTTTCAATGCTTCTTGTATTGAACTAATACAATACTGCAGCTGCTGCTGTTGCTGCTCACCGCTACTACTCGAGTCTTCCTCTCCGGTAATAAACAGAACGTTCTTTACACGCCCACCCAGCGTTGTGATCTCGGCTTTTAGTGTTTTTAGACGTAAAGCTTTCAATGTCTTGATTAGATCGGGCAAGAGGTCTGACCTATCTTCACAGCAAAGTGAAGCTTTGACCACGAACTTACCGTCTTCTTCCGATGTATCAACCGTAAGTTCATCGATTTCGGTCGGAACCGGACTCGTTTCCGCTATCAAAGAGGTCTGTCGCTTCAGCTCCTTAACATGTTGGATCACTTCTGCAAGCAATGAAGCTTTGTCCGTCTACGCCACAGTGATAAACAACACAAACAACAATTAAAAGGAGCAATCATTTAAGTTTTAACGTGGATTAAAAGCTAAAGTGTTGTTTAATTAACGTGCAAGTGATTAGGTTAAAAAGCTTTGTCCCATCAATGCATAAAAAGAAATAATCAAATAGACAAGAAATGACATGTTAAAAGTGGTTTCGGTGAGTGAAAGGAATAGGTGCGTTTCGTTGTTTTCTCCCTGCTTTGATGAATTAAAACTCGAAAGTAGCTTTAAGAATAGGCTGTTAATGGCGGGGATTTGGTTTATTTTTTAAAACGTTCAAGGGAATGGCAGAGGTGTAATAGTATGAACTGACAACATGCTAGTTTGTCTTCCTTTATATCTTTTCATTTTTCCTACTTAATTTGACTGATGATCCGGCAAGAAAATTCTGTGGAAGCTTTTCAACTGCTCCTTGGTTTCTCTTTATCATATCACCCGAGCGACATTAACGCTCATTCCCTTTTCGTATACCCTTTTCTTCCTCGGAACTACCACAAGATTGTTAAGAATAAACCCAAAGTCGAGCTTTTTTAAAAAAAAGACGGGCCGAGAAAGAAATGTGACGAACTTTTCACGTCTAAATGGGTAGGTTTTGAGAGCATAGTATCAGAACATCTAAGTAGAATCTTGGGAAAATCTGCAGATATATCTTTGAAGGTGGGAAAGGCTTCAATATAATACAAAACAAAAAGGAGGGAATGGGGGGCAGAAAAGGTGTATTGAGTGACACTTCCATAGTTCCCATATAATTATAATATAGTAGGGCATGTTGTACGCGTGATGATTTATAATGGTTTATTTTCGACAATTTTATAAAAAAAATTATTTGTGAATAATTTTTTTCACATTACTATTATGTGTGATGACTACAACTTACTTTCGTGGTGCTTGGGAGTAAGCTGCGTAGCTTGGCGAGATGATTGTTGATTCGTTCTCTTCTTCTCCTTTCAGCTTCGCTGTGACTTTTGGATGCTGCGAGAGCCTTAGCATCCATGATTTCTTGAGCAGTCATCTTACCCAACTCGGCTTGTAGCCCGAAAGGAGCCGAGCCTGGTTGAACCATCGGTCCTAAAGTGTCAGATAAGATCCTTAGATGATCAGCCGATGTCCCATCGTATGCAAACTGCACGCCAGGAGCTCTTCTGTTGAATAAAGCACCGTACGAGGACGGCGGAGGAGGGACTAGAAAAGGGTCATCGTCTCGAACAGGGTTACCAATGAAGTGGTGGGACGGATTGAAATTGTGAATCGGAGGGAGAGACCATGGTATGATGGGAGAAACTTCAGGGAATATCAACCCTCCCCGTGTTCCCCCAAATAAATCATTTCCCTGCTGCAGCTGATGGTGCATCTGCTGGTGTTGTTGCATAAATAACTGTTCTTGGTACCCCTGTATGTTATGGATAGCTTGAGAACACTCCCCTTGATCTTCTTCTTTCTTTCCACGCATCCCTCGATATTTCCTGGAGAAAACAAAGATGGATTCAAGTGTTTATCCTACGGATAATATGGACAGAACCAAAAACAAAAACGAAAGAGAATAAAAGGAGACAGACCTTGCTATGATATATATTGCTTACATAGATGAACTTTTGAGAGGGGACTGGATTCTTCTTTGGTGGTGGTGGTAAGTGGTAAAAAAGAAAGAAAGAAAAAGGCAAAAAAGGAATTGGGTTTTGGGTGTAGGAAGGAAGAGGATGACTCAATCTCTTTCACTTGGGGTAGGTTAGTTTCTGGCAGGCACTTTTCTTATCCTTAGCTTCAAAACAAGCTTTCCTTTTCCTATATGCTTTGTTGGTGTCTTTTTGGTCGCTTTGGTTTTTGCTCTCTTCTCCTCCTCTTCTCCACCACTCTAAATTTATAGAGTCTGCAAGTACTGTTAGTCTCCTTTGCTTTATTCCGAAGGCATTTTCTCTATCCATTCTTGTAGCAATCAGGGATATCCTCTCTCTCTCTCTCTTTTTAATTTATTTTTATAAAATGCTACTAGTTTATACATGAAAGTATTTCTCTCTCCATCCTTATAAAATAATGCAAAATGGTTTGCTTTTTGTGATTGGTCCAAAGTGTATAATTACATTCTGTGTCTGAGTGCAGTTTTTTTTGTGAAGAGAGAGATCGAGTGGGGGATGGGAAACACACAAAAACAAAACACAGTGAACACACAAGACATTAGACTGTCGACAAACCAAAGACCAAAAAAGGCTGATAGTATCATCATGATAAAAGGCTTAGCTAAACCCCCTTTTCTTTTTTTCTTCTTCTTCATCTTTAATTTATTCTATGCATATTGCCATCGCCTCGTCCTTTTCCTACCTCGGTCAAGCCCCCACGTTCTTCTACACTCTTGGCTATTTCCACGCCACCCTTTCTGCTACCCCAAGACCATGTAATCATTGTGTCTTGGAACACACTCCACCACCTTCCCATCCCCTCTTCTTCTCTTTCATCACCCCATCTGGGTTTTCGTTTACATCTATGTATTTATCCATATCCATCACTTGCCTTGCTTCTCTTATAATGAATCCTTATATTATAGTACAAGGGAGTTTGGGCACTTCTCCATTTAATTATTAGTGTATATGACTCTTGTGCTGTGGTTTTATTTTACTTCATTTTCACATGCACATGTAAAAGGTAGCATTGGCATGGGAGCTTCTTCCATTACCTCCCTTCAACGAAGCTACTAAAACAACAGTACAATCATAGAGGACTCTACCTGACGAAGCAAGAAACTAACTGGTTAAAGGAAGAAACGGTTAACTCATTTGGGATATGAAATGATTTATATTCGTTTGCTTACAGAATGTAAGATTATTTTTTAGAAAAAGATTAGTTGAATATAACATTACTCTAGGAATATTGTATTATCTTGTTTGATTTATTTAGCAGGAATGTAAAATTACAGTATTTGGTTGAGGAATATAAGATTACTTGGGTGCATATTTTATAAAATTATCCATGTGATATTTTTTTTCCAACAAGATAAATTTTAATATTAAATTTTAAATATTTGAATGAAAATTCCTAGAAATATTTTAATTTTTATACTATTTAAATTTTGAGAAAAAATACATTTAACGTATAATTAATATAATTAGTATAACAAACTTATATTTTAAAATAATTTTCATAAGTATCATATATATTTATATAATATAATATGAAAAAAATAATATTATGATCTCGAGTGGATAAAAATATTATTTTTTAATGTATGAGATCTATTTTTAATAACTCAATGTTAGTTATTATTTTAAATAATTACATATTTTACAATAATATCACTTTTCGCCTCATAAAATTATAGATGATTAATATATTAAATATTAAAAATATAAACCAATTTTAATTACTCAAATTTATTAATATTTTATTAAATCAAGTTTTTTTTTGTATATTATTACTATGTTTATAATTTTGAGTAAAGAATGAAGAATATAATTGACAAGGATCCATATGAAAAAAAATTATTATTCCGGGGATATTCTTGTCCAAGGTGGTAGAAATTGTGTAATACCTAAAAATTACGAGGTAAAGACATTTCCACCATTATAACCAAAAACTGTTACCATTGATAATAAGTTATTATTTGAAAATAATTTTTTTTGTAAACCAAACGTGAAAATTCAATTTCACAAAAAAATTATTACCCTTAGTAATGATTTTTTTTTTGTAAATCAATTGTCCATTTAATGTACTTACTTATATGTGTATAGAATTAAAAATAATATGAAATAAATATATAAACAATAAAAATAAGTGTAAATTACATTATATGTTAATGAACTTTAACATTTTTACTATTGAACTTTAAATGCATTCAATTATAACACTGGATTTTTGTGGTGTTGTAACATAAGTTTTGGACAGTTAAAATGCAAATGGTGTGACAGGGTAAATGAATCTTTTCGTCATTGTAATAGCGTAGCCAAAGCGATGTTTATTATTATTATTGATGGTCAAAATAGTATCGTTTTGTTATAAAGTCTTTAATTTGTATATCGGTTTTGTCACTAAATTTTAAAACACATCTATTTTAGACACTAAACTTCCCAACATCATTGGCATTCAACCATCATTGGCCGCTATTTGCGATAATATTAGTTTTAAAATGTTTATATTTGACTCTTTGTTCTTTTATTGAATTGGGTTTTCATGAAAATCATTCAAAATTGATGCAAATCCATCTAAAAGTTTAATATTCTAATACTTTGATCTCTTCTGATAATCATTCAATTAGGTTAGTTTTGAGTTATGATTTTTGTCTACTCGAAAAAATACTTTTCATCATATGGATATTCAAACAAATATCCTAACCTCTCAAATCTGAGAAAGTTCTCAAACCCCATAAATAGTGAGGTTTTTTAGTTTTAATTATATTTTAAGAAAATATAAATAAAAAAATGATAAATGATGAGAAGACGAGATGAATGCCTAGGTGACCGCAAAAGACATGGAGAGTGGTGGTTTTCAGTAGCGGCTAAAAATATGTGAAAAAAATCCTAACTCTTATTTAATAATATGTGGTGATTATAAAGTAGTATTTGTTCATAATCTTTTTTAACAGTTGACAATGCACATACATCCTGTAGATATAATTACTCGAACCCAAAATCTTAAAGGTAAATAACACTCCCCTTGACCACCGAACGTGAATTCAGTTTCATGTAACGTTATAACAAGTAAATTAATTGAACATATCCGTGTTGGCATGTAGAATTATTTTTTATTCTCAATTTGATATTAAAATAGCATTGTTGTTACGGCAATTATTTTGGCGTAATTAACATATATGATAGACTGAATATTTTTAGAGTGTTTGCTTTGTTGTTATAAATTTTGGAATGAATAATTCAAACTTACAAGTTATAAATTTAGAGGAAATTAAAAGGATTACATCAATAAGATTAATCATTATGATTATTAATATTTTTCACAAAAGGAAAATAAAATCTAATAACTTTTGTTTTTAATTTTCTTTTTTGAACTTGTAATTAAGCAGTTACATATGATTACATTAATAGTTAGTCAAAATCTATTCAGAATGATATTATTAGTTTTTCTTTAACTCTACATTTACTTATCATCAAAATTACAAAACATATATATATATAACTTTTACATTTCTTATCAAAAATTTTAAATACATTATATTGAATGATACAAAATATTATTATTTATAATTATTAAAAATTGATTGTAATTCTTTATGAATCACATATTTTTTTTTATCAAACTACTAAATTAGTGACATGGTAGTACTTGATGCAATGAAACCTCCTTTGAAAACTTGAGAAAGGTGTTTCCACAATGAACAATCATGCATGTTCACATGTAAAAATAATTCGTAAAACTACATACTTATAGTAATTATTAAAAAGTTTAATTGAATTGGTAATATCAATTAATTAACTTAAATTCAGTTGGTCAAAGATGAAAAAAAAATTAAATAGTCTAAGGAGATCATAATGTAGTATATGTTCTGAATTTTATTAATTTATTTACAACGTACACACACCTTGCATCTATTCAATACTTTTTTTGAATAGTCTACGGTGATTACAAGGTAGTATGTGTTCAGAATTTATTAACAACGTACACACATGCACCCTGCATCTATTAAAAAAAATTAATAGTCTAGAGTGATTATAAGGTAGTATTTGTTCATAATCTTTCTTAACTATTGACAATGCATACATCCTACAGACGCAACTGTTTGAACCTAGAATTTCAAGAGAGAACAACATTCTCTTTAATCAATGACCGCTCCATTGATTCAACTATTCAATACGATAGTGATAGTGTACAAACTTAACTTTTATTTCTTACACTTTCTTTCATCTTATCATTTAAAATTAGGATGGTTTCTTTTTATTCCTAACATCAGAAAATGGTCAATCTTTTCTATTTTCTTTTCCCACACTTCTCTTTATTATTAACGCACTAAATTTGATTTTCATTTTAATTTTACAACCATCTTCTTCACATAGCTTCTAGCTGACATTTACATGCATATACATATACACATAATATTAAGAATGAATCAAAAAGAAAATGAAGGTGGGGAATTTTTTTTCTTTTCACCATTTTGTTTGAACACGTTATTGGGAAGGAAACATGATTATATCTTGCTTTGCTTGGTGCAATTGATCAATGGCTATGGAGTTGAGTATATAAAAACTTATAGACCAAGACTCTAAAAGGGAATCATAGATGTTTCCGTTAGCTTTGGACAAATGGCAGGCAGGCTCTATGTTTTATTGCCTAGTTTTCTTTCATAGCCTTTACCTGCTAAGCGCCTGCTGGTTGGTTGGCCTAAACAGGATACCCAAATGTGATGTTTTAATGGTAAAAGTGATTAAAAATCATGACTTAAAAGCTTGTTTAAACCTTTGATAACCAGCAAACTATGCTTAATTACACGGTTATTCAAGCACAGCAACTTTGCCAAGAAAAGCAAGACACAAATCATTCAACCAACATTACCCTTTTTTTAATCTCTTCCAAGAGGCCAAACCCATAATTTTTTTCAAATGTAATTTTGCTGTATAATATTGACTACATAGTGTATGTTTTTGCTTTCAGCTTAGGGTACGATGAATTGACTGAACGGGTGAGGCATAGTATTCTTTTGGGCAAAGCCAAAGGAAGGTTGGAGAAGAAAGGGATGATTTGTATACTCTGAGGAACCCCTTTTTGTGGTTACACGCTTGGCTGCTTTGGTCCCCCAATGTTTTATCTTTTCATCCTTTAGTGCAGCTTTTCTTTTAATTTTTTTTTTGGAAAGACGAAATATTCAAACAATTTATGATAGCTGCACCACCACTATCTTAACCCACGAGAAGTCCCCCTCCCCATTGTCGTGGGGTTTTTGATGACATCAACCCACCCTGTCATGACGTTCAACTAAACTCA